CTATAACGTTATGAGTCATGTTTTGATCTTGTTAATTATTCCCTTATTGACCTTGACTATTTTTTTATATGAGCGTATGTGTATGCACACTTCTTATCCTACCTATCACATGTCTGTCATTCATTTTAGCCTGACTATAAATGTTGATTAATGCTTGCTTATAACGAGTTGGCTTCCCAGCCATCTCCACTCTGCGTCATCTTTCCTTCGCTTGCTTACATTTGCTAATGTGCTCACTGCCTTCTAGCCCATGTTAGTTATCAATAAAAATGTAGTTGCCACTTCCCTTTGTATCCTGATATTATACACCGTTCAGATTGATATAATAACGGTTATCGAGACGATCGATTAACGAAGCACTACACTACAGATATTCAGGAAGAAAAACTGAATTACAATAGAGGAATAAGACAGACTGTTAAAGATTCCTGATGCATGAAAGCAAACTGAAGATTCACGAGCATTAAAATGTCAAATATGAGTTAGGTATTATGCAACAGAGCTGCTGTATAAATGTTTACTTCATGAGAATTAACATTGAAGACGGATTTTTTAAAAATATTTCTCTACATAACAATTAAAAAACTGTTAAGTTTGAGAATTTGATAAATTACTCAGTACACTCTTGTATTAACAAAACATCGTACAGTATGAAGTGAAAACTGACAAAAACCACATTGTTATTAATTTCTCACCAATTAGACATTTCAGACACACAGGATTGAATTATAGTTCCTTAAAGTGAAACTGTAAGAAGCAAAAAAAACATTAAAAGCAAGCAGAGTAAGAAATAAGAACAAATTTTAACGTTATGTACAACTCGATACCGTGTGTCAGTTTGTTTTTCTTATCCAAATAATTAGGTCATTGTACATCAAGGTAACCAATGTATACAGCAAAAATTCACAATAGTTGGAGATGGTGAGTGAACTTTTCAAGTAAAACTTTTTTAGTCACTTGAACACTATAAAAAGTCATCTTTACTTCTTAATGCTTCGTTAGTATTTAGCAAACTGAATTTAACTGACTTTCGTTGTTATCCAAAACTATATAGATTTGGATAATAATATATAAATATATAGTCTTGGACAAATCTATCCAGTTCCCTATTTCGAAGATTTTGCCCGCTTTTGGTAAATTTTGAGGAAACTGCTATAGAAAACTTCTGGTACATCTCGGGGAAACGGTAAAAAAACTCAAAATTTCCATGGGTATTAGAAAATCCGTACTACGCTTGGGTTTTCCAAAATGTTTCCACATAATCTTATAACAATTTGAGATTTCCCCCTAAAAATTTCCCTAACAATAGGGCGGAACCCCAAAAATTATCCATAGTTCCCCAAAATGTCTCGAAAATATTTCACTATATAAGGAGATTGTGAACTTAACCCTATGATATCACAGAGACCTTATAAGGTTTTGTGATGTTGAAGAATATTTGAACCACAGCATAAAATGGTAATCCCAGCAATAACGCAATTTAATCTAGAAGTATTAGATGAGCACGAATGAATGTACTGTATTTAGAATTCAAAATCAAAACACTCATCAATACAACAAAATCATTGGTTCATATAAACACCACAGGTTTCCACAGTGTAGTCAATACCAATTAGTGATAAAATATCCTTACTATAGTTTTAAGCACAGAAGGCAAACGTCTGTGCAAGAACTTTTCTGCCATTTCATTTTCAATTGTTCTGCAGACCCAAACTCAAATAGGGTTTTGTGATCGGGATATCGTTTTCCATCTTGGATCCCATCAGTGCTATGACAGTGAGAGTGTTTCGTAGCTTTTTTACCTGTGTAAGAGGTTTTCGTAACTCTCGTACTGTTTCAAGACTATGGAATAACCAGTTCTATAGATTGCCGCTGAAGATGGTAAAATCCTCATTTCTGTCTAAAAAGGTCCATAGCAGTCATGAATGGACTGGAGTGGAAGTTCGAGAAAAAAAACGAGGACATCAACGGAATGTGCTGGTTATGCAAAATGCAGCTTACTTACTTACTTACTCCTGTTACTCCCAATGGAGCATAGTCCGCCGACCAGCATTCTCCAACCCATTCTGTCCTGAGCCTTCCTTTCTAGTTCTATCCAGTTTTTGCTCATTCTCATGTTTGTCTCCATTTCTCGGCGTAATATGTTCTTTGGTCTTCCTCTTCTCCTTTGGCCTTCAGGATTTCATGTGAGGGCTTGTCTTGTGACACAGTTGGGTGATTTCCTCAATGTGTGTTCTATCCACTTCCAGCGCTTCTTCCTCATTTTCTCCGCTGAAATCTGGTTTGTTGTCTCCCACAGTAGCTTGTTGCTGATAGTTTCTGTCCAACGGATCCGAAGTATCTTGTGTAGACAACTGTTAATAAACACCTGTAACTTCTGGATGATGGCTTTCGTAGTCCTCCAGGTTTCCGCTTCATACAGCAGAACTGTCCTGACATTTGTATTAAAAATTCTGATTTTGGTGTTGGTTGACAATTGTTTTGAGTTCCAGATGTTCTTCAGTTGTAATATGCTGCTCTTGCTTTGCCGATCCGCGTCTTCACATCTGCATCAGATCTACTGTGTTCATCGATGATGCTGCCCAGATATGTAAAGGTTTCTACATCCTCAAAAGCTTCTCCTTCAAGTGAGATTCGATCGGTGCATGCTTTGTTTTACCAAAGAATCTTGCTTTTCCCTTTGTGTATATTGAGACCTACTGCTGCTGAGGCTGCTGCTAAACTGGCCGTCTTCTGCATTTGTTGTTGCATGTGTGATAGAAGAGCCAGATCATCTGCGAAGTCTAAATCGTCCAGCTGCATCCTAGCTGTCCATTATATCTCGTGCGTCCCTCCAGTCGTTGACGTCTTCACAATCCAGTCGATTACCAGGAGAAAGAGAAAGGCTGAGAGTACATTTTTTAAAGTTGTCATATATAAAACGCAGCTAATACTTAAGAAATGTTCATATGATTCTAAAAATACTAAAAACATTTAGCTGCAATCGAAATTTGGTAGATGGATGTCTTCAAAGCTTAATTTGATTTTTTTCTGAAATTTACCGTGAGTTATGACTAATTGCAGAGATGTTTTAGTTATTTTACCAGTAATGCCACCTGGATCTTTGATGTACATGAATTCATTACCACATTTATAAGTTATAATTATATCTCAGCCCAGCTGGGCAAATATTAGTTATTCCCTGCTCCTGATATAGAGCAGCAATGCAGATTCTATGTAATAATCATTATCGTTCAGATCATGAAAAGTAGACCTCATAATGGGAGCTTTCATGCCTCGTCTGGAGTTTTAGAGCAGATTCTTAAATTTTTATAAAGGTCGATCTGTCACCTCGGAAGATCAATAAGGGGGAACTTAAAAGTGACAAATATATGGTCACTTTGAGACGTGTGGAAGGTAGTATGTTTGACTGACTCTGTGAAATGAACTAAGAACTGGCTAGGAGTGTTAAGTTGCGCGGTGGTTGTTTGTAAATTATGTTTTGCATAAGGACTAAGACAATCATTGGCTTGAGAAAACTGGTTCGTCAATGACTACACTTAGAGATATCTTCAATCTGTATAAGGCACCGTAAAATCACTTACATTATGAATCGTATACCTGTTAAACGAAGCCAGAAATTCATTAAAGTGTAATTCACACGGTTTACACTCAAGGCTTTAGTACACTTAAACTGGTACAATGTCATGACTTGAGTCCCTACTGATTTTGTCTTTAATCGTTTTCATTGGTATAAAAGATTTAAGTGTTTATGATAATCGACGCATTTCAAAGAACACTTTGCATAGCGTGTAATTCACAACAATGAACCAATTTGAAAGTTTGGCACCTAAGTGTATTAATTCTGAAGATTGATACTGACAATAATTTTGTATTCAGTACAGCATACTGAAGTCTAATTTTTTTCCGAAATATACTTTCAGTTTCAAACACTGTTTTTAACAAAATTTAGATAGACGAACTGTATTGACGGTTTCTGCGACCTACACATCAAGTCATCAGTATTTGGGTAATGTAGTGACCGAAACTTAGAAAGAACATTAGACGATTTAACTGAAGAAGAAAGTTCATTTCACTAATCAAAAATACAACTAAGCTGAATGAATAAATGAAATATATTATATTACATTGAAATATCAGATGCTTGTCTGTATAGTTTCATTGTTCCCATCTTATCACACAGATAAATCTAGCACACCGTTTAACATGTGTTACAGTGAGTTTTTATATATTTTCTGGAAAATAGAGTCACAAAAGTTATGAAGGGTGTTTACGAAATTTATTGTCTTAAAAGATAAGACCATATAGATGAAATTAGATCAAGTCTCTCAATACATTTCGCAAAGTTGCAGATTAATGATAGAAAAACATGGGCTTCCTGTTTTATTAACGTTTCCCTGGTAGCGTTCTATATCTCTTCAAAAACAATTATATCAAAATAAATAAATAGGTCAAATTAGGAATATAAAGCAATTTATAGCAGTTCAATGTCAAAAGGCAAAACATAGTTGTAAGAAATAAGTATATGAAGTAAATAGGAAATCATAAGTAGCCGGCTCCAGTAGAAAATAAGAACATTGACGTCTAGCTTAGAATAAGTCACATAACATTTTATGAAGATCTAGTCAAAAGTTCATAAATAACAAGAGGATATCAGTCGTGAGCAACCAGTATATTTGTTCGAGAAAGAAAATGAACAAGAGAGAAATTGCTTATGTGTTTAGAAGCAAGCGAATAAGAGTAACGCATGTGCAGTGTGGGCTGCGAAGATGAAGGTTACACTTCACCATATACTCTAAGTTTCATATTTTTTAGGAATAAAAGCTTTCCTAGTCAGTTTTTTAAGTACTCCATCTGAGATAGATTAAAGTCAAATGAACGTTTTTTAAATTCTTGGAATATGGAGTTATATATATAAGTTATCCAATAGTACACTAAACTAGTTAAAATTAAAAACATTCGAATCGATGAGACTAGTACTAAAAATTTAATAATAAGCATAGATTAGCTAAACACCGATCACTTTGGTATAGACAAGCAAATTTAACTACTTTGAACGGTATGGACTTAACAAACTACTAACTGAAGTGCAAAGAGTAAGTTTATTTAGAAAAATAATGGTAATTTATAAGTGATATAACTCATAAATATTTCATATTTATAAATCGATGTACGAATTAACAGTAATAGTAGTGTATTTTGAAGTTTACATAAACCTGGATCTGGATTTAGTGTAAATTAACTTAACAAATTCATATCATTTATCTAATATTCCTCTATTCAATTAGAAAATTAAAAGCGAAGTTAAATCATTAAATCATTCGATTTCACTGATGGATTCATCATCATTTCAAGAGACAATCAACACTGATCCAGAATTAACATTCGATGATTTACCGATGCCATTTAAAATGTTAGACAAATTATTATGGAACATATTTGAAGAAACATGGAATTTAATTGAAGCAAAGGAAAAACATGGAAGTAAGAAATTCATTTTCCAACAATCTTGTCTACAAAAACTGGATGTGAATGTGGTAAGTTGGAAATGAAATTTGTTTTAACAAAGATACTAATTAAAATATTGATAATAGGACATTGAGAATATTCACATATTTACAATTGTCGGACAGTATTTATTTAGAATATTTGAAAATCAAATTAGTGCATATGATCTAAACGATCTGAAATTGATTTCAGAGTGGAATTATTTGAATGGGCTTAACAGTTGCAGTGTAATACGTACATTTAAAACAATTCAATACGATAAAAATGTTATTTTGCAGCTTATTATCAATGACTCAGGTAATATAGGTATTGTGTGATGGTTTTGTTACAGATAAGGTAAATATTTATTATAACTAAATAATAGACTTTTGATTCCTAACTTATTTGAAATTTTAGCTTAATGATTTGATTGAGTACCTACTAATTGTGTTACACAAATGCTTTTGTTATAACGATCGTATGTTACTAAATCTCTCCTTGATTATAAGTGACTAAACGTTTCCTTGTTCGGAAGATATTATTACATACCATCTCGAAAGTACTTTGTTGCGTGCAAATTATTTCCTATTCATAGCACTGATCAAGACACCTTAATTTCTATCATTCCTTAATGATTGAAGTATTTTGATTTATTTGAACGTTGATCTGTCTTCTTCTTCTAACATTTCACATATGGGTAGTTATTTTTTACTGTAGACTCAAAAATCTAAATAAAATTAGACTATTCTACAGATTAAGGTCTTATCTAGTATACTTTTTGTGTATATAGAAAGGTGGTTCTAAAGAGCATAGTGAAAACACTAATACAAGGACAGTTTTTTATCTTTAGTAAAATGCTGGCATGCATTCAACATAGTTTAGATCTAAGCAGACTAGTAAGCAGTGAAAATTTAACGCTAAACACTGATTAGTACCATCAGTTAAGATGCTGAGATAGAGTGGATTAATGTCAAAAACAATCACTATTGCGTCTACATAAATCCACTTTATCCGTTTTGGTGAGTAGAGATAATCGGTAAGGTAGAGTTTGTTGATTACAAATTAAAAGATATTGATGGTTATATAAGTGGCAGAAATTTGTTTCCAAATTACACTAACAAATAGTTAGTAATCAATGAAAGATTTTGGAATAGAATTTATATTTTTGATCTGCGAATAAATGTTACCTTCTTGTTTCATATGTGGGTATCAAATATCAATCCAAAACAACATATTTATGAAAACGCAAATAGAAACGTAAGATCAGTTGGCTCATCCAGTTTCCCTTATCTTCAGATCTGTTCTGAGTTTTTAGAGGGATTAGTCAAAAAAGATGTAAGTAGTTCATAACATGTACAGAAGTTAAATAGAGAGCAAATCCAGGAGAAAATAATTATCTGTTTTATCTTTTTTATGAATACTTCAATGAACATAGACCCCAGAACTTTTAAGTTTCATGATGAATTTTGACTAAAGAGTTAGAATTGGGTTAAAACGAAAACAATTTTTCTTCAGCTTCGGCATTATTTTGTAGTGCAACTTCTATGAAGTTTAAACCCTTCAAATAAATTTTATTCTGATAGAAGTAAGAATTTTAATATTTGTTATTTCTTTATCTGTTTATTTTTTGAAAGGTGAACGACTGTACATGTAAACATACAAAAGTTATGATGTAATCATTGTTATTACACATTTTGCTATCAGGAATTAAAAAGTTTTTCAGCAAGAATACGCATTTGTTGTTTGGTAATAAAAAAGAATCAATAATAAGGGGATGAAAAAAATTCATCAACCTGATGTGGTATATATATATATATATATAATCTAGTATTTGTTAGAGTTCATGCCACTGTTACTTTTATGGGATAATTTTATAATGTCCACAATTGGATTGTTTTATCTAAAAAATTGTTGATCTTTTCAAATTATGTACTTATTTTTATCAATTATTATTACTGTAAAGTGAAAAGATGGTGAAGTACCTAGGCTACTCAACTTTTAAACACTTACTAGTAGATCCGAATACTGCTTCTACATTGATTCACTCAACCGGATAATCTTACCTAAGATTTAAAGTTAAATACAAAACGTTGTATATGGTTAGTGTCTGAAATTATTGGTTAATTACATAATTTCTAAAGTGTATTTAATACGGATTAGCCATAGTTGTGGTACAAGCAAATGCCACAGAACTCTGAGCAATTGTTTATTCTTAGTATGTGAGTGCATATCCATGACCCCTTCAGGTTTCGAATTCAGGACTTCCAGATTTTGTGGAGAATAGTTAACCAATAGAGCCACTAGGTCGGTGTCCAGTGGTACAATTCCAACTGCACAACGATCATCTAGTGCTACTGATCAATCTAAACATATCTGAACTACATCAGTCACAACAAATCAATTCAATTTCCACTCACCCCCTTTAATTCCCTTTCGTAAATAACTATTGACAACTTTATTATTTGATTTTGCAAAACTTCATGGCTTATTTTACGAAATCTCACTTATTCAGGTCAACTAAGCCTTGTGATGTTTGTCGAAGGGTTATTCATTCCAATAAAACAAATCAATTTACCGTCCGATAGTTTACTATATCATACACTCAATGGGAAGATTTCACGGTGTGGAAAATATTTTATCTCCTTAAATGAAGGTAATATATATATATATATTGATTGTAAATCTATTCATTACATTTGACTGAAGTTTTGTTGATCTAGAAAATTAACTTTTAACTGAAATTCTTGCGACGAATCACTAAAACAAAACATATTAATGATATGTTGTGGTGAATGTTACTTATGCTGACAGTAATAAGTAGTATGTATCACCAATCGGAAATAGAATGCCTGGCAGAAGATTGAATTGAAGAGAACAGAAAAGAAATCTCAGAGCAATCAAGATAACAACAGAATTAAAGCAACAGTTGAGTGTGTAAAGGATAACGTAATGAAGATGTGGAAATGATGTACTTAATGTATGATTTTCATACTTTTACTAAACCGCTATGTAATTTTGCATGCAATTAAACATTATTTTTCCCCACCTTAGTTCTTGTTTACTACAATGTTAGAATTAACATTGACGTATATTTTAATGTCTATTCATATAGAGCACCATGTCTGTTAACTTTTAAGAACTTTTTTATTTGACTTGTCATTTGAACGTTTGCTATTCTAGGTTCGGTTGCACTCAGATAACAGCTAACTTTAAACAAATAACTAAAAAGGGGATTTGTGGAGATTTCAGTATTTTTCAAAGTTGAAATGATGAGTCAATTGAAGCTAGACCACCATCGAAAACCTGGAAGCACTGGACGGCCGTTTCGCCCTATTATGGGACTCCTCAGCTGACCAGTTTAAGTTAGACATTAACACCGTTGGATGCCAGCTCAGTGGTCTATCGGTTAAGGGCTTCGGCTCGAAACTGGTAGGTCCTGGGTTCGAATCCCGCTCGCGAGAGCAGGTTCGTGGATGCGCTCTGCTGAGGAGTCCCATAATAGGACGAAACGGCCGTCCAGTGCTTCCAGGTTTTCGATGGTGGTCTAGCTTCAATTGACTCATGATTTCAACTTTGAAAAATAACTAAAAAGCTTGATAACTTTGGAATGTGGTTAGGAGTGGAATACTGAAGGCTCGTTTCTACCTTTTTTAGGTTCATCCACACAATGCACCTTCATTCTAATGGTAATATTCAAACTAAACTCTATCTGCCTACCCATTATAACTCTGAAGCATTATTTCGGAGCTTCAATGAAAGATGTATTCCAATAAAATTTTCATTTTAATAAATTCAGAAGATTTTACTATAAAAATTTCATACTTATTTGATCAACCATAAATTTATTAATTGCTTTATATGTATAATAGAGTTAGTGCATACTAATAACGTTATTTTAAAATTTTTACATGGTTTGAGAGATATGAGTTTGAATCGTGATCAAATTTTTCTTATTTGTGTCTCGAGCTTAAACCTTATTAACCATGAAGTCTAAATTTCAACGAATAATTCATGAAGATAGATTTTACTTCGGCTAGCTGAGACTAGACAATCACTGTTATCAAAATTTGAATAATAATTACAGTTGATTGCTGAATTGAAAAAAAATAATTATTAACCAAATAACTGTTTAATATTTATCCTATTGTTTGTTCGTTAATTGTAATACACAGAATTTTATTCATTTAAAAATTTATTATTAAATACCTATTCAATAAAACTTAGGTTTAATTAATATCATGTATATCTGTGTATAACAAATTTTGACAGATTCAATTAATTCAAAAATTTGGTTAGAAGTTTATCGTTTACCAGTAGACGTATGGATGAAAGAAATTTTACCAATCGTCCAAGAATTTCAAAATGCAAAAATGTCCACATCTAGTATAGAAACTTCTACAACTCAGGTGAGTAATTGTTTATTAATTAAGAATTATGATTATCTATATTATCATGGAATAGTATACGAGTTTTATTAGTAATAGATTGCTTTTGATAAAATATAAATAACAAATAGATATTGTTATTTTTATGTGAATTTTTGTGATTAATTTCTATTATATTTATTATCATTTACAGCTGTTAAGAAGTATGATTAATTCATAAGTATCGATGTCAAAGTTGAACTTGATTGTTTCAAATAAATTAAGCATTGGGTAAAGAGTTAATAATAATAAACATATTCTTATCATATTTCAATGAGTAGAAAAAATTGTATTTTTGACATTTTGTGACTTAATATAAGCCATTTCTTTAGAGTAAATAAATAACCGAATTTCGGGTAAATAATTTTTGTAAATCATGTTGTTTATATTGTGTTTTGAACTTAACAGGAGAACTAAATGTATGTATAGCTCTTAAATTAAGTTATTCTCTTTAAACATCTTTTATTCTAACATTAAAATCCATATAATAATGTTGTAGCGCATATTAGAGTTTATTTCCCAAAATGTATTCGAATAATATTATCTATAAATTGATTATTCATTAATTAGATAATTTAGAAGTAAAAAAACCCCGATTATATTTATTTTATTCTAGGAGATAACCGTTAATCTGGTCGAACGAAAATTATTTTATGAAAATCAATTTCAGCTTAGTTCACCTGTGTTATTAGGAAGAATTAAATATCCAGTACTGCCACCAAGTGAGAAAGTTTTTTTGAAATCCCACCGTGTCTTATTATTATTATTTTAAACAACAATTTTTTCATGAATATTCTACTCAACTCTGATAAAAACTGATTCAAAAACACTGAATTAGCTCCATAAATTGAAATTATGTGATGAGAAGATTATTCATTAAAATTATATAATATATTAATGCAATATAATTTCGGAAAGTTCGATCACACATTAACTTGTCAAGGCATTTAGATATGAAAAATCAAAGATAAACTTGACAAACAAGAAAATAAGAGGAAAACAGAGACAATAATGAAAATGACATGAAAAACAACATGAATAACACTACCGTAGATAATAGATCAATATTACTGAATTAGATTTAGTGTAGGCACAAATTGTTTTTAAACAAACAAAATGGTTTTAACTCTTGTATGGCTGGAGTTTCAATAAACCTAACCCAGGAGTTGTCCACTTTGAATACTAGACAGTACTGTGGTATCTATGATCTGAACGTGAAAACAAGATACTATGATATGAATATGTCTGAAGTTGATATAACTCGACTCAAAGAAGACGACAAACACTGTTGGTAGATTATGATATTTTTGTCCATCCGAAATTGACGATTTTTTTCATTTCTTAGTAATACATTTATCTACATGAATTAATTATTCAATAAAAAAATGTATCACTAAAATAAACGAAATACTACAATAAAATTATTCCAAAACAAAAAAAATCAACAAAAGATTAATTGTTGTCCAGTGCACTTTGATTTTTAATGATTTTCTGAATGATGTCTGTGTTTTTTGAACAAAACTAGCTTTAAACTATGATTGAATGTCTCAGTAAATGAGTCCGCTCAAAAGTTATTACTTTTCATTTAAGTAGAAGACTAGCTGTCAGTTAATCGATAAATTTGCAATCGTTTGAATGGTACATACTAGGTAGGACGGATTGTAGGAGTTAGTAAATCTAAAAATTAATAGCATATACTATATTCTGGCTAGAAGGTACAAATGTTGCTAGTGAGAAAACGCTAGATAGAGGACAATCTACTATTTAGCGAAAAAATGATGAACTGCTTGAAATGAATTGACAAATTCACTTATTAAAAAATCTTATCAGTGGATAAGTCATCTGTAAGTTTTTAAAAATGCAAAACACTTTACAAATAGTCTTTACTTAGTGATTTCTGTTCTGTGATGCTAAATCAGTCCTGCCATAATTGATATCACTGTTTGGAAAAACTTTAAATGAAATGTAAAAATTTTATTTTTCACAAAACTTCCCCTGAAGAAATTCAAACTAGTTTGCTAGATGAAACTTTAAAATTATTTATATTTCAATTTCTTGATTCACCAAAATATAAGTTATATATTTTATGTCTTCATATATACTATGTGCCCAATTTCTGTCGAACTACTGGTTTAAACGTTAACAAACGTTCATATATATCTAAATTTCTTTATTACTACTTAATAAATTGAAGTAGTCTAAGATTATTAGTAAATATTTTGCATATCACCTTCATCGTTCTCATTTACTTATTTCGGAAGGTCCTGCATGTAAATCAATAACAGCAGCACTCAAGCAAGCTAATGATAAGGCTAATTTTTTAAGTTACTCAAATCTTGGTACTCACTTGTTCTCCGATGCAATTATTGAAACAAATCAGTTGGCATTCATCGAACATCGAAATTATCCTTCCTGTTTAACAGCCATTCCTAAACCACAGCTTGATGAGAAGAATTCAGTGTCCGTCCAAGAATTCATAGAGAGCCCTGAATCTGTGAAACGTAAGTTTACTTAGGCAGATAAAAGACAGAAAGAAATGTTTAGTTGATTGTTTCTGGAAGTGGTTATTTATTATTTTGAGAAATTTAAACAATGAAATCAACTGTAAAAGGTTTAAAAGAAAGGAAAACGATGCAGAAATAGAATGAACTTTGAATTGCTTTGTGTGATAAAAATAAATGTAACACAAAGTTTTAAAAATGTTTAGTATCATTATTTTTATGCGTAAAGTTAATTCTTCAATGGTTAAGATTTAATACTTTTATAGCTTTGATTAATTTTCAGTATAGGGTTGCGTAGATTGTTGAGTTCACTGAAATCATGAACTGACCATTGTTAGAATACCATTGAAAACTTGAAAGCACTGGACCACCGTTCGGTCCGAGCTTCCTCAGCACTTTACAATCAATCCACTATATTGCGCAACCAGCTTGCATTGTTTGGTTTATGATCTCAATGAAGATCAACAATCTCCGCAACCGTAGTTGTTGTGCTCTCACTGGTGACTAATTTCGAGAGGTTGGTCTCGGAGTTATAATGAAAAGCCACGACCAGTGAAGTTGGACCGTGTTGGGTGAAACAGTAACCTACCAAAGGCAAATGAAGATGGTCGCCCGACATCGTGGATTGATTGACGTTAGACGTAAACTGGCTCAGTGGTCTAGAGGTTAAGCGTTTGCGCTCGAGATTGAAGGTCCTGGGTTCTATCGCAAAGTGCGGAGTTGTGGATACCCACTGCTGAAAAGCACCATAGTAGGAAGAAACGGCCGTTCAGTGCTTCTAGGTTTTCTGTGGTGTTTTATGATTGTTCGGTCCATGATTTTACACCAATTTATTGACTTACCATCTGCTTATAATTAGGCATCCAATTATATGTGTTTCATCTATGAAGATATTTGTTCTTATTAACGGGTTTTATTTAGACATGTAGTAAGTCGAAATCAATTCACCTAGACTCTTTATTTGAGTCAAGTTTGTGTTTTTTACAGAAGCATGCAATAAGAAATCTGACTGATAATTCATATCTTTAGTCTACAATTGAATGAATTATAAATTATTGACCCATAAATATGTTCTTTAATATATTTTTAAATGAAGATTTAGTATTCACATTTGACTCTTAGCTTAAATTTTTTATTGTTCATTTGTTAAATCAATTCATGTTTCATTAAGTATGGATTACGAAAAGTAACTAAAATTGTTTTCATTGTTTTTAATTATTTCCATGGTTTAATTGTCTTAATTTCTGTCTTATCGTTATAATGCCCAATATAGGCATATTAAACTTGTAATGCTACGTCTAACTAAAAAAAGAAATTTGCTGCGTTTTTTTTGTTGCTTAAAAAGATTTCATTTTATTGTTGCATACTTTCATATTACACAAAAAAAAGAAATATCTGAACCCACAACAGAAAGAAGTCAACCACATTCACCAAGTTCAATAAAACATCAAACTAGAAATACAAAATCTTCTAAACGTAAACAACCAATTAATAGAGAGCACAAAGAAAAAACAACAAATGGACGTAATAATAATAAAAAAGCTGAAAAGATGAACGCTACTGCTGAAACTATCGATGAATTATCAAATAAAGACAATGATGAAAAGTCAAAGAAGAAGCAGAACAAGACTAATAATAAAAAACAAGAAATTGAATTAGATATTGAAACAAATTTAAAAGATTCGACTACTGATGAAACTGATCGAGTAGATAATTTATTTAAAAAATCTCAACAAAATGAAGAAATTAGAAGGCAGTTATTAAAAGATTTAAATGAAGTACAACCTAAATGGTAAAAGTGTACAGCTTGTTATATTTTTTTACTTATTTATAAAGAAATTCTTAAATGAATGAAATAACATTCAGTAGTTATTATTATACACAGTATTATGTTTAAATCATTAGAATGATTATAGTGAATAAGTAATTAACTCTAATTATAAGTCATATTATATTTTCAAATTTAACAATAAGTAAAGTTTATTAGGGTGTGTTTTTCACTTAACATCACATTATTAACTACTATTATCAAATTTCATTTAGTATTGTTTGTTTGAATCTTCCCATCGATGTGTTAGGACTGCAACTGGTCAGTCTCTAATTGGCATATGTGTATACTGTGCGTATTGCCTAGATATAGCCTTAATTCACAAGCATGGTAAGCAAAGATGGATAATGGCTAGCAGTGGAATCCAGTACGCGCTTTTCGTCCTATTTGGGACTTGTCAGCTGGATGTACCTGCATCTCAGAGTTGATGTTCACTCTGAGACTCGAACCCAGTATCTTTCGCTTCAAACACCATCGCGTTATCCACTCGATCACTGAGTCCTCATAGCCACTTGCTTGTGCAATGGGGTGAAGTTGAAATTTACTTAGTATTGTTTGTTTGGATGTTCCCATTGATGTGTTTAGGACTGCAACTGGTCAGTCTCGAATTGGCATATGTGCATACTATGCGTATTGCCTCGATATAGCCTTGATTCACAAGCATGATAAGCAAAGATGGATAGTGGCTAGCAGTGGAATCCAGGATGCGCGTTTCGTCCTATTTGGGACTCGTCAGCTGGATGTACCTGCATCTCAGAGTTGATGTTCAATTTGGGACTCGAACCCAGTACCCTCGCTTCAAACGCCATCACGTTGTCCACTCAGTCACTGAGTCCTGATAGACACTTGCTTGTGTGATGGGGTGAAGTTTAAATTCACTTAGTATTGTTTGTTAGTACTTGTTTGTTCGAGTCCCAGAGTGAACATCAACTCTGAGATGCAAGTACATCCAGCTGACCAGTCCCAAATAGGACGAAACGTGCGTCCTGGATTCCACTGCTAGCCACTATCCATTTTTTTATCAACAGTGTTATTTTTCTTCTTTGCATAGAGCCATATCAGTCTTGTTTCGTCAAATAAATAACATAAAACAGTTTGTATCACAATCATAACAAACCATTAGGAGCACTAATAGCACTTTGTTCAATTACTACAAAAATACATGCTAGAAGCACAGATATACGAATGGAGAATGTTATTTTCAATAAGTTCTCCTCAGGTTCTATTGGCATAAATCTAAATTAATGTTTCTAATGGAATAGCCAAGTTCAAAGCAAACATGTCATTCAAAACTGCAGTTTGTAAAATCCAGGATTATTTGCGGAAGCACATAACATGAGATGAGGAAAATAGTAATGTAATTGCAAATCACAATAAATATTTGGTCTGCAATTGCATAATGAATAGAATAATATGGATTAAGTAAGATTTAGTAAATAGGAATGGATGTCAATTACATTCCTCAAGTGTTTACAAGCGTCGTAATAAAATACTTAGATAAGTGACTCAGGTAATTCCAAGCTATGAAAATACAAAGATGAAAGCAGTACATACATTTGTCAAACTGTGTCTCTATAACATCAGAATGATTGTTGACAAATTGTCTTAGAAGTTGATCAAGATAAAAGAAGCAGTTGAACATATTTTTTGAACTTAAAGCTCCTGCTTTTTTACCCGAATAGCTACTGCGTCATTTTATTCTGCTCAAACCTTTGTTCTTCTCCCCTTCAAGTAAATTAAATTGATTATATAAACGCAATATATTAACATACATCTAAATCGCAATTATTCTCAAGAGGATTTTTTGAGTGCTTATTATCAGTCAGCATCTTCCACTTACATTGAATCGCAAAAGCTTTATACTATTTTAAACGCTGTGTTCTTTATCGTTATATGATGGATGTATGAATTTTAGTGCAGTAATTTCTTGTTTGTTCAAATTATAAAAAAAGGGAAATATGCCAAGAACCTCTGTTTCAGTGTATAATTCTTCTAGTGCTTAACATCCCGACAAGTTGTAAAATTTTTATAAAAACTCGTGGTTGCATGCATTTGACCTTAATAACTACTCAGCTGAAAGTTTGTGCTGATGATGTCGTTCAGAAGGACGATGAAAGCTCCACAACCAAACCATCCAGCTCAGAGAACAAAACTCCACCAAAGTTAAACATCATCTAAATCGAGAAGGTTGGTTGTAACATTTACATAGTTGGAAAGAAAACCGACCCAATTATCAAATTATCTACCTTGTATTAGTTTACGGACTCTGTTTGAATTAAATCTGGAATTAGGTTCTTGAAAAAGCAGATCAGACTGTATTTTATGTTTATACGTGTTACTCACCAAAGCAAGATATTTGGTTTTATATTTAATTAATTCTAATTCATAGATTTAAAACACTCAATATGTTAGCTGTCTATTGTATTTTAGGGAAAATAAACTTGTGTAGATCATATACAACCGGTTACAGTTTTTTAAAGCGTATAACAAAGAAAATACATTTCCGTTTTTTCTCACTTTATTATAGCTATCCATATTTTGAATTCCTGCCAATAAGTTTGACCTCTGATAGTAAACAATCAGGAATTTCATCTTTGACCAATCTGTGTAAGTTTACAAACTTATTATGTTCCCTACTCTCTCTCATTAGAGAGAGTAATTTTTCTCGAAAACTTCCCGATTCGCCTTAGTACTATACTAATAAATCTATAGATTATTCATTTTTATTTTACTGACATCAGCTTATTCATCGGCTATTAATGTTACTTACTGTTACCCTCATAAAGCATAGGCTCAGAATCGATCACAATGGCGTAGGTGTATACACTCTCTGTCTTCCTTTAAACTATGAAATTAAAATTGCTTTGTATCTTTCTTTCTTCCTGTACTATACCCTTATATATAATGTTTCTTTTATATAATACCACCATTAAATTAACAAATTCTATGAATTCGGTGTTCATCTTGTTGTACTAATGAGGCTATGGCAACTTGGACTGATGCATATATGTGCCTGGTCCTACGTTGTAGCTGACTGACTGACCTTCCTTTTCAATTGTTACTAAATGATATTCATTACTTTGATGTCTATCTTTAATTTCCTAGCCAGTGTGTTCTTTAGTCCTTTTTCCTTCTTAACTTGAGGAATACCAAGTTAAGGTTTGTTTTGTGATGATGATTTCTGCAATGTTTGCCTTATCCACGTTCTGTTATTCCCTACGTTCCTCCGCAGTTGGGAGCTGGTTTCTTTGCCTTAGTAGGCTGCTGCTGATGGTATCTGGCTAACGGATCTGGAGTATCTTAGTGTTTATAAATACCTGTACTTTTTGGATGATAGTTGTAGTAGTCTTTCAAGTTTAAGCTCAGTAAAATAAAACTGTCTTGTTGTTTGTGTTGAAAATTCTGATTTTGGCGGTGACTGACGGTTGTTTTGAGTTGCAGATGCTGTTCAATTGTAATAATGCTGCCCTTGATTTGCTAATCCGTGCCTTCACAGCTTCATCAAATTTCCCTTGTTTATCAATGCTACTGCCTAGGTACGTAAAACTTTTCATCTCTTCCAGAGCTTCTCCATTAAGTGTGAATTGGATGGTGCTCACTGCATTGTATTTCAAGATCTTGTTTTTCCCCTCGTGTATGTTGAGGTTATTGATGTCGATGAACGCAAACATAAGTACTGTAAATATTGGTTGTATACTGCAATAAATACTATCAACATATAAAAATGGATGGATTTGGGCTTTTTTTATTATTTGACTATTAAGAACCAAGGTTACTGTTGAAACTGTTCTTTTTGTCTAAGTTGCATTCTGTCTAATTTTTCACAACGTGTCGCTCGCCATTAAAAATTGATTCGATCAAATTCTGATTATTTCAAAAGTTCTTTATTGTGAAAAAGGATACAAATTTGTTCGGACAAAGCATTTATTTCATCACTTCATAGTGTTGTTTCTCTATTATAACTCATTTTTCTAGCTGCAATGACATCTGATTTTTCAGATCGTTATTTATTTATTTGTTCGGGCGTTATTTATAAAATTTTAAAAGCGTGTAAAGACTAATTTATTTTTGTTAATTGCTAATAATTTAGCTTGACCCATTAGTATGCTGGTCCCAATTTATGGACGTTTTTTCTTCGATCATGCCTTTATATGGCACAACAGACAAACGAAAAACTCATGATTTGAGATTTAGACAGAAGTTAACATTTACCAAATGGAGGTATTTATAACTGCAGTAATGGATAACAGAGAAAAAATTATGAAAGGGACTAGTTGCTTGAAATTTTGAATAAGAGTTAAACTAACTGATGGCAAACTTGCATGAGATTACTGACTATTCATCTAGAGAATGTCGATAATCAGTGGTTTACTGATTGTATTTTTGCTAGTGATTATAAATAGGAACAATTAAAATATTTGCTCCATATTTCTAGGAGTTTCTTTGATTTGCCTTATTACATTGACTCCTCAGTTAATTTATTATCGCTTCACTTTTTCATGAAATTTATCGGAGTCGAATTTATGAGTGGTTTAGAATGACTGTATACTTTACCAATTACTTCCTTTTTTTTCATGACTTGGTTACTCTGTAGAAAAGCGTGTAAAATTATCATAAGCAATCTGCTTAACTTTTACAAAAGTGATAATAATAACAACACAGTATTCTTCAAAAACAATCAAAATCACTTATATTATTGAAAGTACAATTTGAGCCGAGGTTTATTTCTCTTCAATTAGCTCCTCATCATGGCCTAATATTTGAATATAAAATCAATACCGCTGAGATAGTTGTAAGTAAATTAACATGTTAACAATGAGAACAAATTGCAAATCGACTGACTATTGAGACTTACTATATGTGAGTGAATATACGCTAAAACTCAAGTTTAAATTTGGGTTTTAGAGTCAGTTTTATTGAGAGTACAACAAAGTGAAGCGATCATCATACTTTGGTACATCATCCAGCATGGTTGGACAAAAGACAAATAAGAATGGTAAACAAATATTCACACATACAATTAGTCGATAAAGATTCAGCATACAAAGTTATACATCGAATCACACATAATTTGCTCCATGTCTCAAGATTCACTCCCCAACACCTGGCACAAAGCCACATGAATTCATCTAGATAAACTTGATCTTTGTATCCAAAAATGGTTTGTATGGCCCCTTTCTACTGACCACATTTAACTAATTTCAAACTTACACTTACATTTTTCTCGTCAAAATGGTACTTAATGATTCATAGTAGTCAACAGATTATGAGTCCAATTTTTTGCGCATAATTATTATTTTATTCTTCTTAAATAGTCATTAGAAATAATTAAGTGATTCTAAAATTCAAACTCACGCTTACGTTTTTTGCACTTACATGTCTAAAAGGACCTATGTATTACTGTTCAATAGTTAATAATCCTAGGTTTTCATGAAATTTTGATTTAAAAACAAATAATGAATGAATTCCTTATGATGTAAACAATCAAATTTCAAACGTGTTTAAAAAAATATTTCTGTGAATAATAAATAACTGACTTTTATTCTTTTGTAGCGTACTCAGGATCTATTTGTGTTCATTGGTCAAGATCATGTTATCTTTTCTTTTATCCTTTAGATAAGTTCTCCAAAAGTAAGACTTTTACAAATAAAATACTTATAGTTTGCTTTTTTCTTGGTATCTTCATGTTTTCAGCTTACATGGATAAACAGACCAAAAATATCAAGATTAGTTTAGGGAATCGAAACAGCTTTAAATACATTTTCAGTGTTTAGGCTAGGGTAATAAAAGCTCAATTGTTGAGTCATCTTCCACTCTAACTAGCTTTTTAATTCGTCAGATATCAATTTAGGGACTACTTTAATGGAGTAGGTGTATAATCACTATTTTCAAAATTCGTTAATATGTATCTCGGTATCGTGAGTTCTCTACTATAATCTTGATTAGTACCGTTTTAGGGGTCGTTAAAAACACTATCCTATTATTAAGTCAGTAATAAACTGTAACAAACGTTTGTAAGCTGGACAATTTATAAGTTAGAGTTAGAGTAACTGAATTATAGGGGTCGAAAACAGTCCATTCAAATATGTCCTAATCAATAATTATTCAGGTTTGATGTAAATAACCAAATATCGTTTATTTATTTGATGACCACATATCATCATTGATCACATAACTTTGAATATAGAACATGGAAACTAGGGCATCCATAGGATGGTTACAGATGCAATAGAAATTATATTAGATTTAAAACATCGAATTCATTCCACTGATCGTTTAGTTAAACTGTTACACTTGACTTTTCAACTTATCAGATCAGTAAGATAAACCACTTGGTAAACGATTTATAATACTTCTACTACACTTGATTTTGTTTACATTTAATTTCATAATGTCCTTCAACCAAATTATTTAACAAAGTGTCACTAGAACAATAAGAATTTGTATATCTTGATGTTGTTATCATGCCTGTATGAACATGTGTGCTTGATCACATGTGACAGCCTACACACATACCCCTCTCCCTAGCTTAAATGTTAGTTGCTTAGATCTCACAATGAATTATATATACTTGTGCTTGAATCTTATTACTGGATTTAACTCTTCATTCACCTCTATGTTCACTCGTTCGCGCGCATTGGCTTTTCTGCTCAAATTTTGTGCTTACGGTTTATTGATCTGGATTTACACAATGTTGGGATTTATTTAATAGCGGTTATCAGGATGATTGATATACGAAGTCTATCAGATTATCTCGAAGCTGGTCCACTAGAGATTTGTTATTTTTAGTTTAAAGACCGGGAATTAATTTCTGCATACTTACTGTATCTGGAAAAAATACGAAGTTATAGATAACTGAGAAACATCTGAATTTAATGATGTCAACCAGTTAATAATTAAACTTATTCTTTTCTGCTTTATTTGTCTACATAGCCGAAGAAGGTGTAATAGAAGAAGTACGATATTTCGGTTCAGAAATAACGTATATTTCAGTTATTTATTCTAGTCGTTCCGTTAATGCAAACGAAATGTCCATTGATGATAAAGAAAATCTACCGAAGAAGCTAGATTTAATTAATTCGAGGAATAATTATCTGGTGATTGGTCTTCAATCTAGATTAGTTATAATTAAAGAACTACAGTCAGGTTAGTCAATCTTAATGGTCATTAACTATTAACTGACAGAATAATGATCTTTGTTGCGCAAATATTTTAATGAATACTATTCGTAGTTTTCATTAGAAATTGGTCTAAACTGAGGATTATTTTATTATACATCATAACTGACTATAGCTAAAAACGAATGAAAACTAGGAAGATGGCTGTTTTTCCTAAATACAAGTCTTCGCAGTAGTGGCGCTTCTGTGCTACCCCATTAGGTATCAGACTCAAGACTTCTAATTTGCATAGGGAGCTCTTAACCTCTCGGAGTTTGTTGCTAGTGAACACATAATGGACAGATTTATCAAGAACCATCTAACACTAGAGAGCTATTCTGTACTTGACCTACAGTTTCACAGTGTGGCTGCATTTAAAATATCTAGGTTCCGTAGTTTTAATATACACTGTTGAATAGCTTGTCGAAATAAAATGATCATTATTTTTCAACATTAGTTCAGTTTCTAAATACATCTATCTCTTTGTTATCTAATTTTCTAAGGTATTGATCAATTTTTAATTCTATACATTTATTTGAAATTTGATAGCTTCCTTTCAGCTAATAAACATACTTTGGACAATTGTCATCATATATGAGGATATTTACACGATCATTAAATTCAGTAGAGTAAATTTTATGTGGATTATGAAGTCGATGTATAAAGTAGACGAAATTTGCTTGACAGTAATTCGAAAACAATATGTTAACTGAATTGTATTTAACTTGTAAAAAGAAATCATAGAAATGATGCATATGTAGTTCATTTTCATCTATAGCTTCCACAGTGATTATTTATAATCAAGTATTTTCATGACAAATCTTTATTCATTGTACATTGTGACATAATTTTAAATGGCATTAAAACGCTTGAGAAAAAGATTGTTACTTTTGAATAAATGAGGACAACAGATAAGAAAGGAGATAAATATTGAGTTAACAGCTTTTACTCTGGTTTCATTACCTAGAATTAGTCAAAATACAATGTATTCCACATTTCCTTGCAACTTGATTTAGTATTGTCCTCCTTTACGGTTAACTAAGCATGGAAGTATGTTATTTGAAATTAAGTTTTTGTATGTTAATTAAACTTGTATATTTAAAACTAGTTAAACTGTTTGATAACCTAAATTCTGAAATAGTTGTGTTAGGGTATTGAATGCCGATAGTTATTTTCCATATAATCGGCCATCTTCTATTAATTAAGTAGGATATGTCTCGCTCTTTGGACAGAATTCATTCAATGATCATCATTTTGTCAGATTGATTCGGGTAGAATAAAATAGAATTGAATTACCAACTGAAAATATGATTTGAATGAACCATTAATTTTTTTGATTATTTAGAAATAAAATGTTACCTAATACTGTGTCCGGTGAACCAGGCGCATTGTTTTATTGAAATGAACAAAATGAAAAATATCTTATGTATTTCACAATATAATTTATTAAATCGTGCATTTGATTACTATCACACCAATTTAATTTATTTTTATTATTATAATAACACTTTTATATAAGCAAAGATGGAGTGAACATCAACTCTGGGATGCAGGTAAATCTAGCTGACGTGTCCCATGGGACGAAACGCACACCCTGGCTTTCACTGCTAGCCACCATCTATCCTTGCATATAATGCTTATGACTTAAGGCAATATCGAGGCAATCCTTAGAGGATGCACATATGCCAATAAGAGACTGGTTAATTTCAATCCAAAACGTCAATGGGAAGATTTAAACAAACAATACAAAAACGAATCAAAACGAGTTTTCTACGAAAACACAAATGAAGTAATTCGAGTGGACAGAAAATAAAGCGTGAAATATCTTTAGCATACCACGAGTTGAGAAAGTATGACATTTGGCTTGTTCTTCACCAAAAGCTTCACGAATCTGTAATAAATGAAGTTATAACAGCTTTAAACTTAAGTTACAAAAAATTTTCCAGTCGATTATTAATGGATTACCAGGATCATTCCAATTTACTAGGAGCATTTCAAGAAGAAACAAGGATGATTGTTAAAATTGAATGAACACGATAGTCGATAAACGTGACTATGAAATTTTTGCCATACAGTACATTGGAAGATTTTCAAGTGAATAAGGCATTTATTACAAACATTCTAAGATTTCTATCTCTTTGTTATCATTTATGTTATAAATCATTTGTGGGTGGTGACCACCTCAAAGAATGTATATTACAGACAATTTGTGCATTTAGGCTTCTTTTTACCTGATCAGGTGAATGAATTTAAAAAAAAACTAACGAATGAATATGAACAACTCAACCCGGTTATTTTAGATCTGTGTACATGAAAGTTTTGTAAATGCCGCTGATATATTTCTCTGACGATCATCAGTAATGTGAAACTTGGGATAGAAAACTATTACTGACTTACTCTGTGTTAAAAATATCACTACAGAGTTCACCATAATGTTGTCTCACTTGATGAAATAACCACAAGGAATTTTTCGACTAATATATGTTTGTCAAAACTTAAAATTTGAGGGATCAATAGATTTTCATTCGTCGATTTATTACCTATATAGTTTTCTGTGTTTGTCGTTTGCGGCAGATAATCAACATTTTTAATAAACTCTTAAACTTCAATTATTTTGAAAATGAGAACTCATAAGTAAACATGATTTCAAGATATCATTGAAATTAAAGTAAAAAGAAACAATGATGTATTTTATAACAATAAAAATAATTTATTACTCAATTAAAAAATATAACCATTCTGCAATCAACTCCTACCTTGCAGTTAACGCAAAAAAATGACAATACGGATAAAAGAAAATGGATAATTTGTCATCGAAACTATTCAACCAACCAACCAACAAAACAATCAAATACTTCAGTAGACTGAAAATAATCAATTATTAATTAAATTTAATTTTACTTTTTATTTTCTTTCAGCAAACTTACTTTTAGACAAACTTACTTTTTTTACATTATTCAACAACGGTTGATTGTTGTTGTGTCTCATCCAAATCTTTTCAAAAATTGATATCACTTCCCCGTTCCTTTATACTGCTTTGTATTTGAGTGCATTTATATAAAAGGAGAAATTTGTACTCAGTAATCAATCGATTAATTAATAAAAGTATAGGCAACAGTGTTACTTCACTTACAGTATGTTACGTCGAAAAATAAAATACTTGCATTTCAATTTATTTAAGAAATACTAATTATAAGAGAGTCCTTGAGCATTACTATTCTCTAGTCCAAAAGTTATTCTAATAGACAAATTATTTTATTATTTAAAAAAAAACATGAATATCTGCTTTTAAAAGTATGTATTGAACTAAGAGTCTGGAAACTACTTTTTATTTTCAGGTAATATGCCTTTAAAACATGATATTTTTATGTAATTTGTTGTAGTGCTTACAAAAAGCGGTAATTTCAAAAAGTTCATCATCTAATTTTGATATGTACTCACGTGAAATCAGGGCGTACTGTAATGAATCAGTTGATATTATCTCTCATTATCAAACTGTAACATTTGTATATCACATTTAAGGTAAATGAAAGAGATGTTACATTGAAGGTGGTTTCAGTCAAAGTTTTATATCATCCGGAGTGTCGATTAAAATCAGCTACAACTAAACATGTGTACCATTTTATTTTGGAGTATTGAAGAATCAAGACATCATCTATTCAATTTCAATTGATTCCCAATATAACACGATGAATGATGTCGTTTCTTTCAAATCAGATACCGCTGAACTCCATCATTAATGACTCCGCACTGGATGCCAAGAGGTCATTTCTGATCTGATCACTTGTAAGCAAGTGATTATATTTTGGTTGAAAAGTTTGGCCTTGCCTAGTCTCGAGTGAGACGTTTGTCATGAATAATATTAACTGATCGTCGAGCTAAGTAGCAAAATTTTGTTGAACCTTGGGATTGTTGATGACTGAATTCCTACAAATAGTCTAGGGATCAAGTTCTAGCTATGAACCCTAGAAGTCCTTAGTTGAACTCTTTGCTTCATATTTTGTTTGCAATGATACCTGAGATTATGCTAATTCGAGAGAAAAACAGCTTATAAACCGAGTGAGCATCCGTTAACTCTTTCAAGCAAAGTACAACTGACATAATATTTCATTTACCCTTTTATAATTATAACATGAAACAATTACTTAAATATGATATATAACTAATTCATATATCTTCATTTTTAGGAAGATACTTACCCCTATTTTATACCGAATTAGGATCATTGGTAGATGCTGGTCTGTCAATAAGTACCAAATATATCAACTTACTCACTGCATGTTATCTAAATAAGAATAGACACTCAAACAAAGATGATTTGATGTTACACAAAAAATTCACGTTTGATATTTATAATTTAGATGAAAATCAATTGATTTGGAAAAAAACGCATATTGTGTATGTTGGAATATTCATGCCAGTTTTTTTTTAAAAAAAGATGCTGTTTTCTTAACATTTGATATGGACTGTATTTCTTATGTAACATAAGAAAATTGGCGAAATACCAGTCGTTTAATACACATAATTATTTACATAAACCAGAAAAGATAATAATCATCATGGATTGAATACTTAAACTCGACTATTGATTTTTCATATTTTAAATGTAGATTGAATAATCGATACAATCTGAGTCATTCACTGCTAACTATACAAGGCTAATAGAATAATTGATTGATCGATTGATATGGAAAATTCAATTTAATGATTCGTAAGCTAAATAACATTGAATGGAATATGGAATTAATATGTTCTAGTTATGGTGACTTTTATTGAAAACGAATAACTCATATTCATTGAGCAAGGTATTCTGAAAATTGTAGTGACCTACTTTTATGCCGAGAGCGCGATTGCTATAATGGAACCAGTTGTACCAGTGATTGTTTTACTGTACTTGTTTGTCTAACTGTACCAAAGACACTTTTCCTTCCGTTGCCTGTAACCTTGTACGAGCTCGCTTCTGCTCGGCAGTTCCGCTTGTAATCTACAAACTTGTGTGAAACATGTTTTAAAATAATAACGATAACAAATCACCATCAGTGTAACACCGATCAGAATAATTATAGTATCGTTAGCAATCTATATGGTTGAAATTCATTAGTTCCTAACTAGATTTTTTCTAAAAATATTATGAAATAAATTTGTTTATAAATTTTAGTTTGTTGTTAGGTAATTCTTAACATCATATAGTATTAATTGATGTGGCTAAACGGATATAACTGACAAAAGAAAGAGGAAAATGGAATAAACAGTTATAAATTTATTTAAATCAAAACTAGACCTTAAATCCACTTGGTATTGTTTGTTTGAATCTTCCAATTGATCAGTCTCTTATTGGCATATGGGCATACTGTATGTATTGCCTCGATATAGCCTTAATTGACAATCATTATAAGCCAAGATGGATGCCTATCTTTGCTTATAAAATTGAGCTCTTTCTATATGTATAAAAGATAAGTTAAATTTTAAAATAACTACTAGTTCAGTCAACTAGTAGTTAATTAATCAATAGTATATCATGAGAAACCAAACTAACATAATGATGATAGTAAACATATTCTAAATAAAAAAAAATAACCGGTTTATTCAATCATACGTACTCTTGATCCCATATTTTTAAAAATATTAAATCACTTCATCTAATTGATTACATTATAGTTTTATCGATAGAATTGAAATAGTTTTAATGATGAATCAACTATACTACTTAATGATTGACTAAATATTAATAATATTTAACTAGTAATGATTAATTTATTATTTGTTACTATGAAAATATTGATTTTTTTTATTCTTAGGGGAAAGAAGAATTTTCATTGTCAAGCAATTACCATTTTAACTGTAGATGATAATTTCAATGTAAGTTAATAGACAATTTACAAGAATTGAAATGCAGATTTTACTACTCTGTTAAAAAAAAAGAAAATTCAACGATGGATTTTTCTTTTTTTTTTCAAAAAAATTTATTGTTCATATTCAATTTCCTTAGTATTTCTGAACAATAACATTTCACGTCACATTTGATGTTTTTATAATTTATACATCGTATTATTAATATTGTCGGATAATTGTTTTGGGTAACTCCAGAAAAAAAACAAAGCAGACTTGCTTTTCTGGTTCCCTTTTGAAAACATTATTTTTATTTTTATTATTTAAATTTCTGTCTAAAAATTAGTAGGCTACGATTAAATAGAATTAACCATACGCCTGAAATACTGTTTTTATCAATTTCCCTTTTTTTGTCTCTTTTTCTTTGGGTAGTAGTAAGTATTACATTGTTTTTTTCTGCACTGACTTTTAATGTCTCTCTTTCCTCAGTATACTTGTTTCAGTTTTATTAAATTAAATGTTGCATTTTGGCATCAGATAAGAAATTGTATTCATTTATTATGTTTGTCTTTTTGTAACGTACAATTAGGATAAAAAATTGCTTAGAACAAGAAAGTTACTTTAACTGTAACTTTCTTGTGGATTTCTTCTATAGAAGATCACATTTATCTAAGTTTTTATGTTCACGTTAACTGATGCTTGGTCGGTAAACAATGTTATGTTCATCTATTCAGTAGCATTGATCACATTCTGTTAATGAAGTTAGAGTTAGTCTAGTGGTCTATGTGACTCCGCATGGAAGGGGGGTATATTTAGTTTGATACTTAGAGATAACATGTAAGAACTTTCATCTAAATTGGAGCGAATAGTTTCACAGTATTTAAGCGCCGAGTTGATATAAGACATTAAATAGGAATAATATATTTGTAAAATCTCAGCGAATGAATTTGAGATTTTACAAATATATTATTCCAATTTAATGTCTTAGAGATAACAGACTTCTGAGGACTACAAAAACACCATGGCTGGCAACTGTTGACATAGGTGAGACCTAAATTCACGGATTTGTGCCAACTATCTCCAATTATTTAGTAAGATTATGTTTACTTTATTGTTAAGTAACATTCTTTTTTCTTAAAAAAATCTAGGTTGCTGTCTGTTTAGTCTCATCGAAGGATTTGCTCATTTATTCCCTGGATCATCAACAAAATTGCTTACATCACCAACAGCCGGTTAAACAACATATCGAATCACATCAATCAAACCAGGTAGTTGACGCTGACCTAAATCAGTTCTGTCAAAGTTCTATTCAAATTAGTTTACCTAACCCATACGTAATTAATCTAAACACAGGGACTGTTAGTTTATTCCCAGAAGTCAATGAACAATGGATAGACAACGTCGAATTCTACAATCAATTATGTTTGACTTCATGTCCAGCAAAATCAAGTATTCAGGAAGTTGAAAATGATAGCCATGTAAATCACGAAGGGAAAAAAGAGGAAAAATTAAATAGAAGACAAAGCACTTATCAACTTTGGATACGAGGTAGTTAAAAAATGTTATGATAAAATTTATATAATTTATGAACAGTTAGTGTATTTATTTGCGGTTTTCAAAAATCTAAATAATTATTATGGTTATAAAAACCCTTAAAGTCCAGCAAATTTAAAGCTATCTTAGATATTTCAGTTGAGATCTTATATAATTAGGAAATAGCTTCAAAGTTATTTCCATTAACTAAGGAATTGTCGAAAGTCATTTAAATAAATGTTTTCCCCTCGTTCAAGACTCTTTTATACATTTGTCTGGAATACTTTTTCGTATTGTATGACGTCGGTATAGGACGTAAGTTTCCAATGGAAACGATACTTTAGTGAAAAAATTCTTCAGGCTTGAATCGTCTTCTGATTGGTAACCTTTAAAAGTCAAGCCAACATTTAACAGTATATAGCATATTAATTGAAAAGAGAATGTGTTTTTTAATCTACAAATACCTGTATTCAAGAGGCAATGTTTACAAAATTGCAGACAAATTGAAATGAGTGGATTCTACATATTTATCTGATAGAACAGAGTACACTAGTTATTGTTAGTTATTTTAAATTTCACAACTTTGAACAGTTATTTTAGTTATTAGATGGATTGCTTTTTGAATAAACTTCAAACTAGTCATATGGAATCCGTTGAGATTAGAGGTAGATATCCCAGCATGAACAAACAAAATAAATTACTAGATAAAATTATGTAAAAGCTCTACGATCAAACCATCCGACTGACAGAACGAAACTCACCTGAGGTACAAATTTTTTCCACCAATACGAAATTCTTTAATATGATCTACAGTATGCTCATAATAAGTCTTTTTAGAATAAATTTATTTATCTTATTGATAAATTTCAGTTGAACGAGACCATCTTTCACAAGACATTTCTTTGAATAAAGCTTCGGTGGTTGACATTGTTTTCATGATATACATATGTACAATTATGTCCACCTATGTGATTATGTTATCTCAGAATGATTTTGTTATTATTTAAAACATAAGTGACTTCGTGGGGTTCAATTTTTGATTAAGTTTTTATTTCTTCCACTAAATTCATTACTTTTAAAGCTTGAGTAATTATTAACACAGTCTAGAATAGTTCTTTTGTATCGGTTGTTTGAATTCTTCGGTTGATGTTTAGGACTGTAATTGGTCAGTTTTTTTGGCGAACGTGCATTTTGTGCGGATTGCCTCGATACTGCTACTAAGTCATTAGAACTGACAAATTTAAAATAGGACGAAATGTGAGTTCAAGATTTCACCATCTATCTCCCGTTATAATACAGTCTAGAATAGATTATTTTGAAAGATATGTTGATGAAAAGATGGAGTTACTTAGTGATATAAATATCACTCATTCGATGTGAAACAAAGACCCATAAAATGCATTGAATCATAAATTATCAAACAGCTGAACAAACAAATAATGGTCCATTTAGAACTATAATATATTGGTCAGAAAACTGTAGCCTTTAAACTTTAACCGAAATGGAATCATATGCATATTATATTAATCAGCTGATTGTTTGATTATTCACCATCAGTAACTCAGTGAAATCAAAGTTATTCTTAGTAGAAGTTTGGCTTATAGAAAGTCGGAACCATTTTGATTAAAAAATGACAAACGAAACCCTTAGCACCAAAGATAGTTGAGAAAAGAAAACTTTTTTTCTTCAGCGTCAGTTGCTAATACTTCTATTTTACGTATAGTAGTTTATAGGAAAACAGGAAGTTGTTACATATTCAACAAGGTTACTAAACATCTATCAAAAATATTTACGATTATTGAATACTAGAATCTCTCATCCAGCCTACCTTAGAACCAGTTCGTTTGACTTAGTAAACAGTTTCGAATGTAAAAATAGTTGACTAAAATTGACAAGATGTTAGACAACAGAACTTTTGATTGATTTACATTCACCCTTAAATAACGATACTTTTTAGCGCTCGGATATAAATTTGAAAAGAGCATTCTCTGTGTGTCTAACAAAAGATACTAGTAAATGACATGGTGGAGATTATTTTGTTTTGTTTTCCGTATTTATAGTTTGGTTTACGATGATACTTCAGTACTATTAAGCGGGTATATGTTAGTTTATATGCTAGGAATCATGAATATTATTACTCTGTATAGAGAACAAAACTGAGACTTAGTTTTTGATACACTTGATTTAAAAGCAACTACTTGACAAGATAAAATCTGGTTCTGATTAGATTAGTTTGAGCATGCAGGTAGTATGATGAGGTTGGGCCAAAATTGTTTATCATGCTCATTTATTACTCTTACTCTATCACACAATTAACTGAAATGGTGTAGCTACCTAGATTACGTAGCATTATATTGAAGTTATAATATTCAGTGATTCTCGATTCCTTTCCTCTCATGTGGAATCAAAGCTATTCTATTTCTTTCACAAAGGGTTAAGGAATAAGCAAAGTTTACCTAGATAGAGCTCTTTTCATGAGAGTAGAAAAACAGAATAAAGTACGTCACTATTAGTCCTGTTCAAGTACTGACCCTACAAAATTGACTAATGAGTTACAGTTGGGATTTGTTGATAATTGTGAGTTACGATAATCAGTTTAACATCTGGTAATCGGTCTTTTGGGATAAGGATGGGTTCATTACGACAGATAATCAGGCTTGAATTCCGTGTTGTTTCACTGAACTTACAGTATTGTTAGTTTTTATTCATAACTTGTAACGAGAAAACGAATAAAAACGTAGTCAATAAACGCGTTTAATCTGTGAAATAATGCTTAGGTATATCAAGATTAGGATATTATAAGGTATACTTTTAAAAAGTGATGTGTATAAAATAACGGGTCACATATTCGATGCACAGCACAAACTATAATGAAGTATTTCGCCTACTTGAATAAATAATTATTGTTTTTAATATTGTTTATAACAATATTTTATTTAACTTTTATCCATAAAGGAACTAAAATTGAGCAACAGGACGAGGGTAGGATCCAATCCAAACTATTTCGTGTTGACTTAGAGTAAGTACAGGTCGTGTTATATATATATATATATATATATATATATATATATATATTCTTAAATGGTAAACGACTTTTTGTTACTAAAGTTGCCATGCAGTTACTGGTCTAAATGATTCCACATGATAGTTCATTATGTGTTGTGCTCGTTTGTTAAAGGGAATCTCCAAGAAATTCGCAATTTAGGTTCCTTGTTAGTTGATAATCTTAGTGGAGTTAAGACTTATAGTCACAGTCTTATTTATTAACAGTGACTAAATTATGGATAATTTTTAAAAGCATTATGTTACAATTATCATTCTAAATCATTTTGTATCCATCTGATTAGCCCATATTTTACTTTTGGTTCTGTCCCTATTCGGACATGGCAGTTTAAACTGTAAAAACTCATCTAGTTTCCGTGTTTATTAGTTGTCAACATAAGATCTAACGCGAATATGGATTTCTTGAAGTTGCTAAATGTCATTTCAACAAGATGCGAAGGGAAGAGGTGAAAATAATAATAACTGTAGTAGAAATCTGAAAACTAGAAATCGAAGAATGAAAGTTTAAAAAGGATAATATTTAACATAAAGTTTGGTCGAAAACATAAATCTAATGCAGTTGTGCCATCGAAATCGTTTGTGCACTATATCCCAAAAGGTTTCCAACCATGGATTATAATTGTTGCGTGAGCACCTACCAGATTATTTTCATATCTCTTTATAATTCAAACTAACAGTCTATGATTTCATGAACCAATATCTTATGTTAAATCCATTTCATTTTTTGACCAAGTACATTTTTAAGAGGCTGAAAGAGATGAGTTTATTGACCATGACAATAATCACTACATCTGTTTTATACACTAATGTGTTCTCTTGCTTTCTCCATCTTTTATTTCACTGTATAAATTTATTTATATTCCTGTGAAAAATATCCGTATAAAATTAGCCGCATAATCATCATGTATGTGTGCCAGTTGGTCTTCTTTCAAATTTCTTTCTCAACTGAATAAATTTCTATCAAAATACCGAATGACTTTATGTTTAATGTTTTTGTCAATATGAAAAGTGACTAGTGTTTTTGGTCAAAGAGACATAAAAAAGAGAAATGGGCAAACCTTATTGAATTTCATGAATTTTACAATATTAATAATTCACGTTTATAAAAATAGTGTATGTCAAAGCGTAGTCTTTGATCTTGTCATAAAACATTTTCTTTTGATCACTTTTTTGAATATATTTATTATTATTAAAGAACACTTCCGGATTGAAAATATTTAAAAAGATCATATGTTTTTAGTATAATAATAATAATAATAATTATTATTATTATTTAACATTGACTTTTACAGTTTAACAATTTCTATGTATCTTCGATTTTATCAGAATTTGCCCTACTTTCCTTTTTCTTAAAACTTCTGAGAAAAAAAGTAAAAAGTAATTTCATACGTAGACTATATTAAAGGTTGCCAGTGTTGGACTATTTTGATATGACATTTATTGTATTATATGAGAAAGATGTTGAAATTTACTGAATCTACTGAAATGTAAATAGAAGAGTTTACATATACTCATTTACTAAGAACAGGTTCATGTAGTCCATTTTGAGTCATATATTATTGGTAAGCAGAGATGGATAGTGGCTAGCAGTGGAATCCAGGACGCGCGTTTTGTCCTATTTCGGACTCGTCAGCTGGATGTACCTGCATCTCAGAGTTGATGTTCACTCTGGGACTCGAACCCAGTACCCTCGCTTCAAACGACATCGCGTTATCCACTCGGCCACTGAGTCCTGATAGCCACTTGCTTGTGCGATGGGGTGAAGTTTGAATTCACTTAGTATTGTTTGTTTGGATCTTCCCATCGATGTGTTTAGGACTGCAACTGGTCAGTCTCTAATTGGCATATGTGCATACTGTGCGTATTGCCTCGATATACCTTAATTCACAAGCATGGTAAGCAGAGATGGACTCAGTGGCCGAGTGGATAACGCGATGGCGTTTGAAGCGAGGGTACTGGGTTCGAGTCCCAAATTGAACATCAACTCTGAGATGCAGGTACATCCAGCTGACCAGTCCCAAATAGGACGAAACGCGCGTCCTGGATTCCACTGCTAGCCACTATCCATCTTTGCTTACCATGCTTGTGAATTAAGGTATATCGAGGCAATACGCACAGTATGCACATATGCCAATTAGAGACTGACCAGTTGCAGTCCTAAACACATCGGTGGGAAGATCCAAACAAACAATACTAAGTGAATTCATATATTATTGGTGTTATGACTAATGATTTTAACGCATCTGCCTAAATCAAAGTAGGTAGTGAGTAGTGTTTGGATATGCAACCTGTTAATTGAAACTGAAAATTATTTATTCACCCCTTATTCAATGTTGATATTAAGAAAGTCTTCTACTCTTCTATTCGTAAACTAAATTTCATTAACCCACTGATTACACAATAAAGAAACAAGTCATAATGACAATATATTATTCTGAAAAGTCGTCCTTTTGATTAAAGTCTGATTATCCATTATGTAAGCTTAAATATATATTATTTAGACAGTTTGATCTAATGAAAACACCTCACTAACTTCTGGATATTCTTGAAGTTCTATAGTGAATTCATGAGTGATAGAGTTCAGATATGTCAGAAATAAAATACTTTTCACCATTGACATCTGATAACTGCTACTCTATTTCACTAAATAATCGAAGTTGGAACTGTGAGGTGTTTACTACTCAAAAGCTTGATAATGATTCTCAGATTACGCGAATATTCAAACGCTTGAGTCCCAAATAGTGAAGAAAAGTGAGTAATAAGAGCAGAAGCGTTAGTGTGAGATAGATTTATGTACAGAAAATACGCTCGATTTGAAGACAAAATAAACATTTATCTAGTCGAATCAAGATTTATAATGCCAAGCTTTTCTGAACGTTTCTGTGAAGTTTTTATTTGATGCTGTTACTGGGTTTGATATTTTCAACCTTTTCCTGGCTTCTGAAGACTTTATTGAGGAATTCCTGAGAACTTACAGTGAAATGTACCATTAGGCGCCAACTCAGTAGTTCTAAAGTCTAAGCGTTCACCAAGAAACCTGCATTCTCTTGGTTAAGCCCTTTGCAAGGTTGTAAGTGTTCGCTTCTGAAGAGTCCCATACTAGGATGAAACAACTGTACCACTAATAAAATCATTGTGATTGGCATATATAGCCTACCCGTTAAACCAATCACCATAAAGCTCTGATAACTAGAAACCATATTTCTCTTTATGTAAGCACAAAGGGTTAAAGTTCTACAAGCATAGGTACTTGGGATTCATTAACTGTTGAGAAATTATCAACTAACCAATGATCTCCTATGAAGATCTTATATTATCGCTTACTGGCGAAAGTCGATATTTTAAATTATTAGGTCCCGATCCAATGATCCACACGATATTTTGTTAACTTAAAGCTGTAGGTTTAAAGTTTAGTTCCATACGGTTGTGAATACTTATTTGAGAGTTGTCCTGAAATGAGGTTTAATGGAAATTCAGTTTTCCGTGTTTTCTAACATTTTCGAAGATAATTTCAGTTTCAGATGTAAATTAGTTTCAAAGTAATTATAAAATAACATGCTTCTACGCATAAAATTGAACACTGAAATGAACTTATTTTAAGTACCTCATGCAAATGTAACATTAGATCAACCATCAAACAACCAAATAATAGCTGAATGTTAGGTTTACTGTATAAAATTACTTGTATATAAATAACGCAAGTTTTAACTAAGATACCCTTTCTGTAAACAATGTTACGTGTTAAAAATTCCTTGTTAAAATGAATTTAGCGAATTTCAGTAAATCACCCAAGTACTAAATTTTATAGGGAAATGTACTTATGCGAAAAAAGTCTGTATCTACAAAAACCATTTCCAAAAACACATTCCTGTTGCAATTTTAAAAGAAAAACATTCACCTCGAAGTGACTAAAATTTGTGAAATATGTAATGAAAGGTTGGTTAGTTATTCATAAAAAAACATAGTACCTGATACAGATATTCATCAGCCAAACTTCTTTTCAAGCATAGAGGAACGAAACAGGTGAAAAGCTAGTAAGTGTAGGTATCAAAATTAAAATAAACTAACTGGTCAATGCATCTGTATTATATCAACCAAAAGAGTATGAGTGTAATTATTTAACAAATAAATGTCTAATGTGGATCACCATTGAAAGTAAGAGTGGCCGCTTGGTCCTAACATAGCACTCAGCAACAGTGCGCATTCACGATACCGCACGTGGAAATCGAGCTTAGGATCTTCGGTCTCGCGCATGAATGCCTGACCACTAAGCCGGTATCCAACGATGATAATGTCTAACTTCAATCAATCCATGATCTTGCTCAAACCTTCATCCATTGACCGCGATTAATCACCTTTTGACACCCAACACGGTTCAACTCCACTGGTCATGGCTTCTCACTCGAACTCCGGGATTTATATCCCGAGGCTAGTCACTGGTGAAGATATAAATGTTTGATTGGATGCGTACTGCTGAGGACTCCGATACTAGGACGAAATAGCAATCTGGTGCTAGTTTAGCTTAGATCGAATCGTGATTGCAACTGTTAAAATACTAAAATCTCCACAAATCCTCCATACTACATAAATCACTAGTCAAAAGTGAAGACAAAGTTTTGTAAAGTGAATCGGTGGATATTCATTTTTATTCATCATGGAAATACCATTCGTACATTTAGTACACAGTTTAATAGTGTCTATATCTTATGAACCATAATTTATCCGCATGAACACAAGTAATACGTATAAAATATTAAAGTGCTTATAATTCAGGTACCTATATCTTTTACTCAACAATGAAACTGGTGTTAACTCGTCAAATAATCTGTGATATCGGAAAGAATTTGTTTCTCGGAAGAATGATTTTGGTGAAGTTCTGTTCTTTAAGCTTAATGTTTTGGTGATGAAGCTCTGATTGTCTGCCTCAATAACAACATCAGCATGAACTTTAGGTAAAATTGAGCTATTCAGATTTCTCTGTGTATGACTAAGAGCTTTTTTGTCAACGTTGAGTCTGGTTGATAGTTGTTGACTAATCATTGTCTGTTTGTGTTATTTTAATTTTCTGCCTCACTGACATGATTCTTGACTTTTGTTTTCTGTAACTTTTTTAGTAGATTGTTGAATCTGAAGTTTGCCCATGAGAAGTTATTTAGAAAGGCAATTAAAGCTTCACAGTTATTGCACTCAACTAAGAGAAATCAACTCCATCATAATCATACGTGTTAACGGTGCCACTTCGTCAATGTAATTAGTACAGATTGCATAGTTTTCATTAGTGCGTTGTAATAATGACTCCAAATTGTTTCTGTTCGCTAATATCTGAAACTCGGCTTGTTGAAGTTCGTACGCGAGATTTGTTGCTCAGAAAAGAACTTACCCAGAAAATGCAACATTGTATGTACAGAATTTTTAAGCATGTATCATTCATTCTTGTCATTGATGAATGGAATAAAATCAGTGTATTAAACCCATTTGTGAAATCTACAAACCAGTTTTTCAACGTCTGAACATCAAGTTCCCCAAATCATTTCAGGTCGTCTCATATCTGACCTTTTTTTCTGCTCATTTATTGATGACTTTTTGTTAGGTGAAATGCAATGAATAATGGAATGCAGCTCGCGTGTCGTAATTTGCCCCATTCTTTACCAAAGCTATTCAGTACATTTTTGAATATCGCTAAACATTTAACACATGTGACATCAACTACACTGAAGTTAGTATTTCGTAAAACTCCTCTGTGACTGTAAGACATCTCGTACTTTGCAATTTCTAGTAAAAATACACTGTTAAAAATTTGTCAATTACAATAGTGAATTATCTTAATTTTATTGTGCATTAGAGAACTCTTTTGTAGATTTAGCATCCCATAATATTTCACAAAAATGATAAAGTTATAATCTGGTAGTAAGTTTCTAATGCCGAAATACGAACTTTAGTCATTATTAATCCAAATACTTATCTCTTTTAAGTTATTCGTATAAAAGTGTAGATACGTAAACTTTTGAAGTCATTTAACTGTTCATATGATGAGGTATGAGAAATACTAAAGCATATGACTTATCTATGTGCAGTTGAATCTTTGGTTATGCCTTATGTTAGTAAAGCGTTGAAATATAATTAGGATATACTTGAACTATGACACCTACTTTTTTAGACAATTGAATAGCTTAAGAATACATGATTCAACCTAACACGTTTATTTACGATTCTGAATTTAAGTTATTTTACTTGCTAGTGTTTCTTGAAGTTCATCTTTAGTACGTCACAATAACTAGTCACCTCTTTTGATAGATAAAGAGATGAAAAATAAAATAAAATATCGTTTTTCATTCTGATAACCAGGACGTTTGTGAGTATAATACATGAAATATGCAATGTAGTCAACATAGTTCTTAGTATACAAAACGTTTTAATAAAAATATAAAGCAAAACCATTCATATCAACATTGCACAAAGACCGTTCTAAAAGAGGAAAGAATGTAAGCAATATTACTTTTGTGAATGGTTAATGCTTATGTAATGAAAGGTAGGTTCAACGGTCAATCTTCATTAATATCTGGCCAGATTTCGTATTTCATGTAGAATAATGAATATTTTGACCTTATTACCTGTTACAAAACAAGATTCAATTATAGATATCAATGCCAACGTTGAATTTGATGGTTTGAAATAGATTGAGGATTGTTTAGAGAGTTTATATATATATATATATATATATATATATATATATATGACATTCTTTGACATTCACAGTATTTTATAAGTTAAATTGATAAAATTTAAATGGGAACATTTAATAAACTGTTGTTGATGAGAGACACTTACTTTTCGACAATATTTGCTATAAATACTGGGTAGAACATCCCAGTTTTTCCAGTAGTAAAACCTGTTACGTAAGGATCAAGATTAAGATCTGCAATAGCATTCCAAATGTCCACCAGTAAATATTTTACAAACAATGGTTTTCAGCTCATATCGCTATTAAGTAGTATTTGATTGCAAAAACTTCATTTTATGTGCATACACAGTTAATGTGGTGAGTGAACCATTAAAAATGATAATAAGTGCGAAAACTCCACGACTATATTTTTTAAAACTTCTTGTCGATTATGATAACCTGTTGCTTAATATCATGACACAATTGTTTTGCGTTTATGAATTTAATTTGACTGATGATAGCAGTCTTCACTAAACTTCAGTATTGGATTTTGTCAAGGAATAACCGGATTGTTTAAACCCCCACAAATAACAACATAAATTTCACACCAGCTACAGTCGAAAATGGTTGTCTGGTATTAGATGCTTAGTGAATAACACATTATTGTGTGAAACTAAAGTTACTGGGTTCGAGTTCCATAATGAATATCCACATGGATGTATATGCACTCAAATAAGACTAAACATACATCCTGAATTAAATTTCTTACCACAAACTATCCATTATAAAACAACGTGCTACGAAAATTCTTGTATCTAATTATTTCACCCAAGATTTCCATATAACTATAGAATATGATCGGAATTCAGTCCTAAACATCGGCAAGAGGAAAATTAAAACACTGTTAATTCATTTGTATGGGTTGTTTACCTCATCGCACAAGCCATTGGCTATTTGGACTCAGTGGCTGAGTAGATAACGTGATGACATATGAAGCGAACGTAAATGGGTTCGAGTACTGAAATGAACATCGACTTTGGCATGCAATTATGTTTGGCTGATGAGTCCCAAATAGGACGAAACTTGAGTTGTGGATTCCACTACTAGCCATCACCCAGCTACTCCTATAGTCTTACCAGTAATTTCAATACCAACTTCAGCGTTATTGTTGTTTAAACTATTCATTATAACAACAATATGATGATTATTCTACTAATGTTAAATGTAAGAAATTTCCTTTCAGTAAAAGTGATACCATTGATATTATAAGACTAAAATGTTTATGTTTCGAAGTAATTTTTATTATTACTAATTTAGGATACATTACATTTGGATTGAAATGAATGTTTACAAACCAAAGTATCGACGGAAAGCCTACAATGAACAAACAGTACAGAATAAATGATCAGCAAAGTGTGTCATTGTTATCATTATTAGCAAAATTACACAAACTATTTAATACCAAAATAATGAACTAAGAATGTGGGTTTCATGCGAATTAAAATTTGACTGTTATACCTAGTTACTGCAAGCTAGATAAGTTAAAGATTTATTTAAAGTATTCACCCATACACATTTGAATGACATTCATCATAAATAATTAGTTCAAATGTCAAGAATGATTAGCTAATTAATGGCTTTATTTTCGCTGTATTTCCATTTTAAAGATTTAAATCACTTGAAATTAATACCGATTCGTTGGAACTGAATAATGAAGAGGATTTTAAAGAGATCTATTCGGAACCACTTCAAAATTATTCAAATAACTTATTGATGAAAAGGTAAAATTAATATAAAAAACATAAAGCTTGTAAAATGATTAATATAATCATTTTTATCAGTAAAATTATTTTATTACTTTTTTAAACATAAGTTCCATCAATAACTTTTGATGTCATCAACACCGTTGGATGCCGGCTCAGTGGTTCTAGAGGTTAAGCGCTCGCGCGCGAGACTGATAGGTCCTGGGTTCGAATCTCGCGAGGTGGAATCGTGGATGCGCACTGCTGTGGGGTTCCACAATAGGACGAAACGATCATCCAGTGCTTTCGGGTTTCCCATAGTGGTCTAGCTTCAAATGACTCATGATTTCAACTATAAAATGATAATAATGAAACAGAAAAAGAAATTTTGTAATAAAGTTTGTGATGAATGAAATCCAAGTTACCACTTAACGGAATAGACGTGATTTTTCCAATAAGAATATTTAATTAGTAAAACGGCAATTGAATGTAAGTAAAGAATATCATTTCAAAGATATAAGAAAGAAAATATTATGAAACATTAAATAAGCTATTTGATTTTAATTAGAACATCTTAAGTGACAATGTAAGATGATTGATGGAAGTCGAAAAGAAACCCTAGAATCAGGGCATCAGTTTCTTCAAAATTTCAGGTACGCTTTCCTAACATGTCTCAACTAGCACGAACCTGAATCCGAGATTTTCTATCCATTATCTCAAAATGCCTAACATTCTAATATGGTTCATGCATACAAAAACTTTGTCATTAAAAGGTATCACTGAAAAAATTTCGTTAGAATAGTGACTGCGTAAAAGTATAAAGAGAAATAAATTACATTGAAAAATCTGTCAAATAGATTTTAAATATTAAACTTTTCCATTCCCACAAAAGATATTTTTTGTAAAAAGACATTTGAAAGCATTTTGACAAGTTAATGTAGCATTCAGCCATCAAAATTGATTTGAATACGATTTACTCAAGTATATTTGGGAAAGAGTAAAAATTACCAACCATTCAAATTTAAATGACTTTTACTGTGTTGTTTCACTTAAAAACAGTCATCTAATCACGAAATCTAATTCAAAGAAATGCAATGAAAACTTAAGTAATAAATAACTTAGGACCTGAGAGTGATCTATATTGGTTCAGGTCATACACTGCGCATTCGTACATTTAAAAGAAATGAAAAGAAAATCAGTACTAATAGCAATATTATTAAAAATCATGGTGGAATGTTAATATTTAGAATTGACTTTCAAAAGAATCTATGAAATCAAGAAATGAAAAACATGAAATAACTGTAATTTTAAAAGTTATATGAAGATTTTTAGTTGCTACTTCTATGTCACGACTAATTTTGCGTGACTCCATTCAATATCTGGACTACGATATACCGTTATTTTCGTGGATTGGATGCAGATAATAAGAAGCTGCTTGCAAGTTGTATTCTTACGGTCAATCACTTTATCGATTGATAGATGTTTTTCAACGATTATTTTACTATCCGACCAAGCAAAGAGTGAGTATAATAAAATCTCTGTCCGATCATCTCCATCTAATAAAGTTACTCAACTATAACCGAAATTAGTGAGACGAATTTCGAGGTTACATCTCGGTTGACGATGTTCAGGCATAAAACATCTTAACCAAGATGAACGATTCCGATTGCACCACCACTTCCTCGATTGTCTTATCATTAAAAAATGCTTCAAAGAAATCTATGAATCATTACAAATAGTCAAAATGTCTGTTCTAGCTACAAAGAATACGCTTAAAAGACTTAAAACATGGTGAAATAATATATTAGGCAGCTTTTTACATGTAGATGACATTTCATCCACCATGAAGGTAGTACTATTTGAGAAACGCTATTGGAGCCTTTTAGATTTCTACAAATATAAACGCACATGGGGTGATAATGCTTCAAGTATAACTGGTTAAAAGGACTAAAATATATACAAATATTTAGTCGGACCGAGCATTGACTAATAGTATCCTCGAAGCACTATTTCGGTGTCTAAGAGAGAGAGAAAAAAAGTATCTCGAACGTTTCTCCATTATTGCACAGAGCATACAAAAGATCATGTTATGAAATTTTCTGATCAAATCGATCGAAAATTTATATATATATATATATATATATATATATATATATATATATATATATATATATATATATAACGAGTTGTTCTAGAAACGAAATGACCGCTTTCAATTTTCATTATTTTATTCCAATTTAGAGGTCGTAATGAAGCAGTCAGAAGATTATCGTTTCAGAAAGTCTGGGAACAACTTGCTACTTGTTAAGAAATGTCACAATTGATAATTTTATTAGTGTTACAATTACAATTTAATAATTTGATATAATTACAACCGGCTAATACAAAATATGTATTATCTTTCTCAATAGTCAAGTGTAATGGTAATTATTTTGTTTTTGAATCAAATGACGTGGCATATTGTACATGCAAACCCAACCCAGTTAATTTTTTATGATAATAATAATAACTGTTCAACGAAATGATCACCCATAAAATACGCCCTTTTTCCATTCTTTGGATTTAATTTTCAATAGATTGATACATTCAATTTTCAGTTGCGATTTATTGTAATAATGAATTTTAACTACATGGTAATAATGAACATTTGTAGATTGTAAAATAAGTTTGTGGTGAAGTTCAGTTCATTTCTGTATAAAGGTAATTTAAATAATCAGGTCATAACTACGATAGTGTATGAAATGCAGGGTTTTTGTTTACTTGGTACAACTTCTGGTCGGGATAATAACTTAATGTAAAATGATAACTATGTATAATATTCATTAATATTATATTTGCACGAGATATTCTGTTAAATTTACGCTAGCAACCATTTATAATAGTGATTTCAGTCTGAAAAAAATGGATCTTTATAGGTTTTCGTTAAGTGCTTTCTACTCGAACATTGCTGGTGGAGTCAGAGTGTACGAAGAACTGTCATCAAAATTCATAAAATCAAGAAGTGCTTTTCAGGATTGTGTGCTTTCTCCATTTTAATTTGTTTTGATTACAGATATTCTTTCAGAAATGAAGCGTTCATTCTTTGACTTTCCAGAGACTGATTCATCACCAGGTGACTCATTTATCGACTAAGAAAACGTAAGTGATATAGTCGTTTTTGATGAAGACCCGATAAGACATGACCTTCTGATCGTCTTGAATAGCGATACAAGTGTGTTTAGGATGCGTTTTTTTCTTCCCAAGTGTAAAAGAGAAATTTCAGGAAAAGTCTGAGCCAACGCCTAAATTGTCCACATGGTGTGAGGTCTTTGCGCTTCTTAATCATCTCGCTTGTCGTTAACTTTGAGAATATCTATAGGTTACAAGCACTTGATCATAGATGTCCTCAATAGATTACTCATTCCCTCTTGGGTCATCGAGTGGACAATACTGAAATTGAACTCAGAGTACAAAGCAGGGGTGGTAAATCATTTGACAAGGTAGTGAATATGCACTGAATGAGGTGGTTGGGATATGTATTAAGTCTACCAAAACACCTTCAATCTCAACGCACTATATTTACTGATCTGGAAGTAAGTTGTCAGAATGCTCGGTATAGTCAAACCAAGATATGGTATCGGTTAACGAAATCATCTAATTTTGGCTTAGGCTCTCTTTGTTGGCGCAAATCACCTGCTTGGTGTCCACACGATTATCGTAACCAATAGTCGCCGATATGGCTCCTAATAAGTTTTAATGGTGCTTAACTTTACACCTTCAGTTTTAAAATTTTCCTATAATTTTCAGTTCTTCAATAGATGCTTTCTTCCGGAATCGTATTATCTTCGAATAACATTTTGTACTACCATTAAAACTGTTAATAACTCTATTATTGTGGTATTCCTGTTGATACATTCTTGTCGCTAAGCTGATATTATGCGGCAACGTGAACCTATGCATATATGTGTCAGGATCTGTGTTAATTGTGACTGATGGACATTCATTTATAATATTGAATTTTGAAAGCCAGATTCAAATAATCTTGTTTTTGTAGAAACGCCAATTTGTTAAGATTTTCCCGAGAAAATAATGTTAGTGTTTTTTGTGATCTATTGTATCGCTAAACTTTTAAAATGTGGAATTCCGGGTACTTCACTCTGGGTACAACATCCAAATATTCCATTGCAATATTTTGAACATAAAGATGTTCAATTTGTGCAACGGCAAAGGAAGTAGATTTGCGTATTATACGTACAGGTTGAGTTTAGAAAGTCAACAGCACAAATGACAAACGTTCACTTATTTAGAGTGTGCTAAATATTGATAACTAGTTGGTAGGACAGATGATTAGGCGGGTAAAAACAGTTTCCATTTAAAAGCTAAATTTTATTTCTTGTTCATTTTGATTGTGTCTCACAGTACATGGATTCCAGAACTGATGCTCAGAGTAAGATTTGAAATTAGCGCCTATCACTAGAACTGTTAATACATTATCATCTAGGCTAATTGGAGTTGTTTGCTGAATTGATAGGCGCTCCGAAACTCATCCCATCTGGTTGCAAGCACGATAAGGAACGGGGGCAGGTTCAAAGTAGGTTGGTTTACGCAATGATTGTAAGCAGTGGTTGGTAGTGAAACCTCAAGTGATGGAAAAGTCATCGGTGATAGGTGACAGTAGACAACTGTTCAAACTCATCAAAGAAACAGGTGTTAAAAATCTGGCGGTTAGTGAGAATATGTTGCAAAGCGATGGGACAACTGTTTGACTACCATTCAGGGGGTTGGATTGATGGACAGGAGACTTCATGGAGCAGTTCGACTGACTTTTAGCCATAGATCAGTTGCTCACCATCTCCAAGCAACCTGAATATCGAACTGATGCACGTTCTCCAGCTCCTAGTGAGGTTAAAAAAGTTATCAATAATATAAAGCTAGGGAGAGCAGCAGGGCCTGATTGGTTAACCTATGAGATTTTTAAGGATGGTAGTTCAGTTTTAGCAGCTTTCTGTCTAATTAGTGACTACTATATTTGCGAGAAGTAAAATTACAATTGATGGCGCTTTCACACTTTCCGATAGCATTCTTCAACGCCTCCATCAATGGACTGGTTACCAAAAACAACGCAAAAGTTTTTTTATGTCTTTCGCCACGTCCAAAATCCCTTCACTTGTATTTACTCATAATTGGGGAAAAAAGTGTAATTATTCTGCAAATTATTCTCTTTTTATCCCCATTTACAAACAATCTTAACTAATGACTTTATCGTCAGAACTACGAATTTCATTGAACAAAAAATGTTGCTGATACATGAAGAGGTGAGATGAAAAGTTTTTTTACTATTGTGTTATCAATTTCATTGATTGTTGTATTTGATATTTGAATTTTTTTTTATTATTTTGAATAACTTATTTTTTAATGATACAATACTCTTCCATACTACTTGTAAAAACTACTTATTAATAATAAGATTGCACAAATTAATTAGATGAGTAGGTTAAAATGAAACAAAATTTACTTTACATAATTGTCATTATTTTCTTTCTTAAATGATACAATAAGTTTCTTATGTCTGATTAGAATTATCAATGAAAATATAGAAACAAAAACAATAAAAAACAAATAAATAATGAATTCATTTTAACAAATGAATTAATAATTAAAAAAAACTTTAATGTGTATCTATCTACATGAATATCTTCTATCTCCTGTTAATGATGTAATGATTTTGGTTGTGTTTTTTTCTTTTAATTTTCTTCCTTAAATTAAATAATTAAATTATAATTTAAATCAATCGAGAAATTTAAAGTTTCCCCCTTTATTTTTTTTTTAAAAATGGATACATTCATTTTAATTAAGAGATAAATGATGAAAAAAAAGGAAAAAGAAAAAAGCAGACAATGAAGAAAAAGGGGGATGATAATAATGTTACACAAATATTCAATAAATATGTACATAATTCATTAAAGGAATTTTCTATAAAAACAATAAAAGAAATTCGAAATAAACCAAGAATTGAAAATCTATAAAAGGTGAATATTATTGATAAATTGAATATGATGTAAAAAGATCAGATTTTTGTTTTTAATGAATGAATAATACTTCCATGACGTATTGAACCAGCACTTAATGGACGAATTGAAGAATTATTATTGTTATTATAACTTGTATTTAAATTAATTGGATTCACATTTATAATAGATGAACGTTGTATACTAGACATAGGTGTACTTCCTGATGATGGTATAACCATAGAAGTTTTATTTCTTTGTATTAAACTAATAGAACGTTTATTAGTAGTTGGTTGAGATTTGGGTGAACGATTCTTTTTTAACATTTTTGCAATATGCTTGTAATGGAAGAAAGTAAATGATATATGAATTAAATTTAATATTTATAATTTTGTATGTAATTTAGTTATAGTTTTTCAATGGTACTATGTCTTATGGAACATTTTTATGTATATTCATTATTGAATAATGTGTTGCGAATAATGCGCATACAAAAAGATAAACAACTTTTTTGTAGAGACTAAAATCTATTCTAAAGTTTGATATATATTGATGTTCTAATGTCAGTTTCTTCTAATATTTGGTCTAAATATTGATTTTGAAGTTAATTTTCATAAATGAACTGATATCATCTAGAGAAAACCTAGGGATCATTAGACAGTTTTTCGTCTTCTTGTGGAACTTCTCTGTACTAAATATTCATAATCTAACTCTGAAACAATTTATCCTTGTGGAAAGCACCTAATCTTATGACCAATGAGGTAGAATGCTTATTATTCTCCACAGTATTTAGATTGTCTAGCATCTTCTATTTTGTAGAATTTTGCAGTGCCGTGTTTCTCTAGTCACTAGTATTCAAAGGATTAAATTGATTAAGTTTCAATGAGATCTTCAAGTTTAGAGGTCAAAAATTACAGAGCATTTCGCATTTAATGTAGATTAGTTACTAGTTTTCTACTGATCATCGGCATACCAGAAAACGTCTTATTTGTAGTCTCTAGGCTAACTGTACACCTTGGAGAATTGCTTACTTTCTTCATTATAACAATTAGTGGTTTTTCTTTATTCAAGTGATTATCTCGCTACTTCATTGGTAGACTATATTTAGCGTTGAATGTACTAGACAAAATTATTCTTTAGCACGTAACATCAAATATCTTTTTCGTGTTAATGTTCACCATGAGTTTTAAGCCAAACACATTTTAATTCATACGCGCAACACAATATCCACTTAATTATTGAGTCCACATAGCTATATGGTGGGTTCCAGACTACACAACTAGCCATAATCTATTTTTGCTTAAAAACTTGTACAATAATGGCGAAATCAAGGTAATTCTCTTAGGATGCATATATGCCAACAATGGCTAATTAAAATACAATCTTTACTATGAGCAAATGAAAGATTCAAACACTCAAAAAATAAAGAACAAAAAAAATAGTTTCAAGCCTCTCTGTTTACAGTTTGCAATCACATGACAGAAATAAAGAATTTTTCGTAACTCCTTAAAGTGAGAAAAACAATATACCTTTTGCCAACTAGTTGGAAATGCATTCAGTAGACAAGCCATTGTGATCAAAATTAAACTTGAAATTTGTACTGAAGACATTATCAATATTCGTTTCATCCAAAATAATTCATAAACTAGGAAAGAAAGAGGATATAAAGCAAATTAATTCAGTAATATAAATGCATAAATTATTTTAATGGAGCAAATAACCAATCATATTGAAAGATTATTCAAAGACAGATGGTTGTGACTCACAAATGTAGTAAAACGTGCAACTACAGACAATATTAAGACATTTACACAGGATGCAAAGATGTCATTTGAGGCTGATTAAAACTCAATCCTGAATATTAATATTGAAATATAAATCCTTAAGACCAATAGATATCATACTAGTCTAACAAGTTAGTTACTGTTTGCACTCGAGTGAATTCATGTCTTAAGATGAACAACAATACTAGGGTGCTGATACATCCATATGGTACTTCAATAAGGATTTAAAATATATTCTGAATTTAGTTATTGGGCAAAATAACAAAAACATGTTTATCTACGTTTCTGATATACTTTGATGGCTTTTAATTTGTTTGAATGACAGAATAACTAAGGTACGTAGACTGTCACCCAAACAAGTAGCAAAATTGAAAATTCAACCTGTTTGTGTAAACTAAACAATTCTAGACAACTGAGTGGTAATTGCAGTTGGTATTTATAAGTAAAATATTTTATAAAGACTATAAATCTTTAAATTTCTTATAGAATCATAACTGACCAATCTAATATGACAAGGAAGATCACAACACAACCAACGTTATTTCATTGTTATTTGTTGCACTAAAAATAAGTATTTTCAACTCTACAAGATTATCTAAGAACGTGCAAATTTCTGTCCTGTATATTTACAGCGGAATAATTCAAATGATTAATAATTGTAATATAAGCAATTACACTGTGATGTAGAAATATCCATTTAATTAGATCTAAATAAAGTGGTTTATAAATTATACTTTTAGTCAGTCAACATTCGTTCTAAAAAATCATCTAAACATTGAAGATTATTTTGAAATAAGCAACGTTCTGGAACCATCTAATGTATTAAATTCTTTTATTTATTCAAGAATAATGAATATTTTATCATAATGATAAATTCATTATAAATGAATTTTAAGCATGAAACATTTAGATTATAAGTAACAATCCCTGACGGTCATTTCCCTTCGAATGTTCATCATCATCATCATCACCCAGTTTTCTAAGTTACATCAATTTGAAGTGACATTTAACAACATTAAAGAGTAGAAAAAATATTTTCTAGTTGAAATTAATTCAAAAAATTTCAGGTCAAGGATGAAGATTATCAAAAGTATTAAGATGTTAATTACTTTCATGCACGTCATAATTGACATAATTTAATTTTAACCCAAAGTTAAAGTTTTATCTGACAACCAATGATAAAAATTATTGTTTCTAGTGTAGGAAGTTTTTAATTAACATATTTTTGTTATATCCCAATGAGTAAAAAAAATGTGTTTCTGACGTTTTGCGACATATTGTAAGTCACTTTTTCAGAAGTGGGATACAACAAAAACATATATTTATTATTAACTTTCTAACCAATGCTCAAGTTATTTGAATCTACCGAGTCCAACATTAGCATTGATGCCTATAGAGTTGGATATGGTTTATTGAATTTCATCATCTATAAGCTTGAGTTCAGTTGGTTAACTTATGTGCAAAATATATGTCAAGTACAGATTTATTTACAAGGTGGTTGCCAAAGTATACAAGGAAAGGTTGGATTACAACCTGTGATGTACTCCTAACAACCACTAGTTATTCCCATTTGCTTCAGTTTGGGTAGATTATTACTATTCCTCAGAGTGAAATCATATTTTATAATCAAGTTTATAAATATATCTTCAGTTATCGAACTACATGAGTCATATTATTAAGACTATGTAAGTTCAAATGTTTAAACATTTCTTTCACATATAAGTTGTTGACTGCATTTCTTTGGGCCATACAATAATACTTTGATAATACTTTTTGTAGTTCATAATGATCAAACTATTTTCCTTAGGGTTATACTGACACAGTTGTGATGGGATTTTATGACTTCTGTAAGCTTTCTAATCGGAAGAGCAGAAACCCGCAAGTTTCATTGAATGACAGTTACTTTATGATACACATTAGTGTAAATTATACAACATTGTCAATTAAATCCGATCTCACTCACAGGCCAAATAATTACGCAATCGCTATTAGGCTTGCATGTTTTAATATCTCTGTGTTCAAAGTGAATCCTGTTGTAGATTGTGAACATAACAGAAGACTACTGCTCAGTGATATTTCGATTTTTTTTTCTCCCACTGATAATCATTGTTTTTTTAACGAAAATTATCTTTAAATTATCGAAACTTTCAGAAACCATATAACTGATCTACTCATACTCCTATTTCAGTTGACATAATACATGTGTTTACATTCATTAATAATTTTTGTAAACGACCTCTCCATGTTGAAAAATAAAAGCTGTAAACAATGAAATGAGCTAGCATAATAACACTATGATAAGATTTAGAAGCCAATTGTCGGTGTTTTTGGTTAACATTTATTTATTATTATTGGTAAACCAAGAAATAGTAGTTGAATATGATTAATAATTTATGCAAGAAACCTATACTATTCTGTACATTTTCATACTTCAGATAATACTAGATAAGAATGTAACAATTAAACGAACCATAACACTTCAAATGGTTACATTTTCACTTATCCATCTAGCTAACTCTGAGATATATATTCATGATTTGCTTGTGCTGATTACATGGATTGCATCACTATCTATTTAGTTGTTTAAATAAACTTTCATGATACTATGTCTCTTATTTTCTGCGATGATTGTCCTAACCCATTTTTAGAAATAGTTTATATACATTATTACACAAATAAGTAAATTGATAATAACAACACTAACGATAGTAATACTTGAATGCTCATTATTTATATATTTTGAAAGTCATTTTTAGCTACAAATTGAAGTTTCTAATTAATTGAAAGAGAGTAGACAATATACGGTCACTTAAAAAAGTACTTAATGAATTTATTGTTTTTGAAACTGATAAAGCATGCTAAACTAATACGAATGAGAAATAAAATATCAAGTGAAAATACAAAGTAAAAACTTAATTGAAACTTGCCAATACAAATGGGTAATGCACATAATGGTTGAATGGCTCTTATAATTCGTTTTGATTTACGACAACTCATATCCATAAAAACAGTGATACCTTTGTTTTAATGGGAAGAAAATATAACACCAATAATTATGGCATAAGAATGATAAATTTTAAATACAATTTGAACTAAATGAAATCCATTTGTAAGGGCTTTATATTTCCTCAGTTGTTGATATGCATACCTATCACACAAGCTAGTGGCCATCGAAGTTCAGTAGGCCAGTGGAAATTTCTGATACGGAAGTGACTAAGTTTGAGTTTCAGTGTAGATGTCTTTGTTAGGATGTAAAGATAAATACAAATAGAACGTAATTTACATCCTGGAATATGTTGCTAGTTAACATTAAACTTTCATGACTGTTTGGAAACTAAAAATCTTATGCTACAGTAAAATGTTATAGGTGCATAATTTTAAGATTATTTATTTTGAAAGAGACAACCCAATAAAAAATTGCTTTCATTTAAATTGTATATGTATTAAAATTAGGAATTGGTAGAAGGGTTGACGATTAATTTTTCCACCAAACCTCAAATAAAAAAAATCTGAAGTTTATATTAGGAGTAATAAAAAAGCTTTATGATCTTAGATCAACAATAATTGATTAGCTACGATAAAACAAATAAATTTGTGTATCTAGCTCTGTAATCGGAGCCACGCGTGTTGTCCTATTTAGGGCTTGTCAGCTAAATCTGCCTGTATCTCAATATTATTATTCACATCGGGACTCGAATTCGTTTCTTTTAGCTTAGAATCTCGACTTCGGGATGTATGTGCATCAACATGACGTGCATCTTGGATTCCACTGATAACCACAAATCCAATTATTCATAGAAGCTCGTGAAAAACGATTACATCTACGAAATCCATATTTATGCATTACCATTATTTTCACTGATTTGAATATGAAAGACAGTTTAAGTAGCATAAACTTATTAAAACACCAACATTATATTTGCAAACTGTTTTATCATTACTGTCATTTTGAATAAAGCTGTTTGATAATCATTTGATTATGGTAATTAAAATTGTATTATCTCGAATTGTTTTCTACACACTAGCATTATGTAATAAATTAATCAAATTATGTTTTACAATACCATGTTGATTATATGATCAAAATAAAATGTTTGCAATTCTTTATCAGGATAATATTCATTGCTTATACTTATTTGAATCGGTTGAACATTGACTGTTAGGTTAAATATATTGTCGCTTTGAATAGATATTACATATAGTGGTATTATGACGCAATTCACTATGTTGTCATGATGTGTATATATGCTTTAAAATAATATCAGTTCATAAGAAATATATATTTAAGCAAGTTGTACCTACCTAAATATGAAATCCCTACACCAATAAAATAATCCCATGGTAAATATATCCAAGTTATTACTTCTGTTGAGGTTATAATAGAGGTGAATACAAAAATCGGCCAAGTAATTAAAATGTTGAATACGCCTATTGTATAGAAAAAAAAGGTGCGGAAAATATATAAAGCGATACGTTAGGAAAATGACGAATCATACTGAACAGTTAAAATTAACAATTTTGGTCGGATATCCGAACGATTAATGAGTAATGTTTTCATTAAAATCTGACTTCGGAAGTATGTGTATTTCGGCATTCAGTTTTCATGAAGGTGTCTATTTTTTTAGTTCCAGTTTTTAGTCCACTAGATAAGTATATATATCTTATTAGAAGAATCAATAACCAAAGTCCAAGAATCAGAAGTGGAAAAGTTATTAGACTCGAAGGTTAATATGATTATACTTACATGATTTTAATTTTTCATTCTTTCATACGACTTCTTCCAATAGATTAAAAATGGGTAATTATCAACAGATGAGAATGAAAACTTGTTGGGTTCAACCATATTAGAAGAAAGAGTTGTTGTAAATGACACTGGATAATCATTACAACCGTACGGTTAAATAAATATTATAATAAACAACGAACACTCTATTCCATCTCATTGATCATATGCTTTCGTCACAAGACGTGATAGTCACGATTGTGATACAGAATAATGGTTGGAGATGTACATGGGTGAACTGTCCCAAAACTGCCTGACACATCATGATTGTTTCAGTGGTTGGTTCTCCAGGTAGCATAGATTCATTGTAAAAATGGCCCTCAAGGATGAAGACTTAACAGACTGGGGAATATTTGAAATCAATTTTTTCTAATATATTTGATCATATGAAGAATGTCATGCTGAGCTAAAGTATCATCGTCTAATGTTATCTTTATAAATCACCCACTCATCAGTATAGATATATTTGTATAAGTGATTATGTATATTAACAACAAACACTATTATATACAGGATTACGAATTAACACTTTTATAAACAGGTTTTGAATTATTAAAATCACTGAATAGGATGTTATGTGACAGATGATTTGTTGTGATTTTTTGTTATTGAGTGATGACTGAACTATATACTTGAACCATCTGAAAAATTTTTCAGATCGACTCCGTCTTCTAATTGTTCTATTGAAACTTAAGAAATACTGTGAGTCATGTTAGACTTCTTTGTTAAACCATATTTTCTGAAATCAAATGACTGATTATTATTCATGATAATCTGTGTAATATTATTAGAGTGTAACGCTGTTCAGTATCGTGTAAGTTGAATAGCATAAAACATATAATAGAGATATTGAATTAAACGATTCAACCGTGAGTTAAATTCCTCTCTAAATCTTGACATCTATTGTCTGATATGTTTGAAACATCGGGATAAGTCCTGTTAAAGCCAGAACTGATTGTTGTTTTTACAGGCTACTTGATTAAGGTTCAGTTAACTGACTAATACCTTACAAATTAATCACGAAACAATAGAATCTGTCGTGCTTGTTTAGTTTTCAGTTTGCATCAATTTCCATCAACAGTCATTAAATAGGAATAATATATTTGTAAAATCTCAGCAAATGGTAATGTGGTACAAGCTTTTTCAAGGAATTATAATCAAACATCAAAATTATCGAATATAAATACCTATCTACCTAGTTAATTATTTCCTTAATTTGCACATATATTATGATAATAGATGTTGGGTTATAAAATGAATTATTTAAGAAACGATATTTGCTGGAAAACAGATTGTACACCAAATAAATTGGGTTTGGAATTATCGGTGATCATGTTGTAAAAGAGTTTCTTTTCTCAAATTAACTGGGTTTTTTTAACTACTGGTTTTCATGAGTAGATACTCCGTAGTTTAAATGATAATGATCGTAATCAATAAACATATAACTAAATTTAACTTTGGAATTATACTGACTTACAAAACACAATAGAAATAACCAGTTTTTATCTTTAGATTTTATTTAATTCAAATCTACGGAACATTTTTCCAATCGACTGTTGCTATGCTGTCAAGATTTTTAATAAATTTTTGACTACATATAATTATTCAATATTATTGTCATCTAACATCTAATGCGTTTTCACTAATAGATCAAAAAACAATATTAAAAATTTGAAAGAAAATGTATTTAAAGAGATTAATGCAGTTAGAATAATATATTACTAGAAAATATGCATTAAGTAGTATCTGGATGATTACTTACCCAATGCGAAATAAAAACAAGCCATTTGTCCAACAGTGGGCTTATTAATAATTCGTTTCAAAACAACCTAAATTAATGAATAATTAACATTATGAACAGAAACGATGTACAGATTGATTAAAAGAAATTTGTATTTTGGCAGAAGACTGAAAAGGAAAAAACTTAAATGAAGAGCAATTTGTAGGAAAATGCATGGAATTAGAGAAGATGAACTGATATTTACAGAAGGAACAGTGAAGATTAAGACAGTTGGTTGTTATTTTGCAAATTAACTGCTTACTGTTTATATTCAACTTAGTATTGTTTGTTTGGATGTTCCCATTGATGTTTTTAGGACTGCAACTGGTCAGTCTCTAATTGGCATATGTGCATACTGTGCGTATTGCCTCGATATACCTTAATTCCCAAACATGGTTAGCAGAGATGGATAGTGGCTAGCAGTGGAATCCAGGACGCGCGTTTCGTTCTATTTGGGACTCGTCAGCTGGATGTACCTGCATTTTTTTATTTAATTCAACCTTGAGTTAAATTCCTCTCTAAATCTTGACATCTATTGTCTGATACGTTTGAAACATCGGGATAAGTCCTGTTAAAGTCAGAACTGTGGCTATCAGGACTCAGTGGCAGAGTGGATAACGAAATGGCGTTTGAAGCGTAAGGTACTGGGTTCGAGTCTCAGAGTGAACATCAACTCTGAGATGCAGGTGCATCCAGCTGACGAGTCCCAAATAGGACGAAACGCGCGTCCTCGATTCCACTGCTAGCCACTATCCATATCTGCTAACCATGTTTACTGTTTGTTTATCAGAATTTAGATTAAAGACCTTCATCCACATACTCTTGAGAATCTGTATTTTTAAAGTAGGGGGAAAAATAAGTCAATCTTCATACAGTGAGATATGTCTTCTGACTGTTGGCTGTAGAAAACACATCATCAGTGATAGTTCACTTTCAGTTATATACATATTCATTTAAATCTAAATAATAATTAAATATAGATTAAATTAAATGATGAATTTTGATTGGATTTTTTTCTATCAACTATCTACCTTATGCTCAATTTATTCTAAATTATCAGGGAAAAATTTGATAATGATGTTTACAAACATTAAGATAATTTGGAATAGTTTACCTTTCTAAAATACAAAAACTATTACATATGTGACATCTGACAATTAGTTTGTGAATTTTTAATTAAGTCAGTTTTTCTTATTTTAAAATGGTATAGTAACCATTTATCTTCATGTATCAATCTATGATAAACAACCAACTTCAGCTTTAACTAAGTAAGGATACGAATAAGAAAAATTTACACAAAAAATGACATTTTGGATTAATAACAAAGCACATTTATTGTTGGGAAAATTTTAATCAATTCACTAATTGGTTAAAAATTTGTTAATCATCTATGAAAAATTATTGATTATAACGTCCCTTTGAAAAATATTTTTGATTGTTAAAATCTGTTAGTTGCTAAAACGTGAGGATTTTTATAATGTGTGTTAAAGATCAAATATGGCCAACATTAATTTGTATTTCTTGTTTTCCAAAATGTTTTTTTTAATCTTGGGAGGTGTGATAACAAAGGTGAATTGTATGGTTAAAAAAGCTATGCAATTTAAGCTCGTTTAAAACGGGGTTAATTATAGCATACAAATTTCGTAAGTAATCCACTATCTCATAAAATGAATATTAACTTATCATGTTTGATCTGTTTGATCTGTTCCTGTCATGTTAGATGGTATACGTGACAAGCTATGAAAAGTTTTCCTTTCGGACTACCGTAAAAGACTGTTAAGTTGTTGTACTTGACATGTCAGTGTATATTACTCAATGATTACGGAAAGGTTTCAAAATGAAAGTTCGAAAACATGTTGGGTCTTATTAAAATTTAAAAAATAAATAGAAAATTACTTACTATAAATAACGAAAAGATAATTATTGACACACTAGTAAGACATTTGTACCACATTACCAATTGATCACTGTATATATTCAAAATTACACCACTGGAAGCCATAATGAATGCGATGACCTAAAATAGTATACGTATAAAAAATCACCTACTTTTTTAGATATAAAAATTCGCTAGAACGCTTTCTGTAAATAATCATCAAGGAGATTAGTGTTTGTGAAAAGGTGGCTTTCTGAAAACAGAGATTTACACAACTATTCTATTTTAGAAAATCACTTCTAATCAAATGAAATTGATAAGTTAACTTCCAGAGACCAAATACAAAGCCATTGATTAACGTTATCACACTATCTTCGGAGAATAAAAAGTTTCACATCCAAATCTTAAGGAGTAGATCTCATTTCACGTAGTAAGCAGAATAAATAATTTAAAAGATACCTCGGTAGTTTCTGACTTTTATTGGTGTTTTTTCGAAAGATGGTAAATTAAGTATTACGCTACACTCATAAAGATTGATTGAATTTAGCCACAAACACCGTTGGATGACGTCTCAAGGTCTACAGGTCTGATAGATTAATTTGTTAGTTTATTACAACCATTACTATGAATTTGTAGGTATCTCAACGTTTACATAGATTATAGATTAAAATAAATTTATTGACTATTAAAATAAACTATTTCCAAGCCCTTGTCGTATCGTCTTTAGTTTGAGTTATAACGGTGATAGACTTTGACTTCATCTAGTACAGATAATTTAGGTATCACTTGTTCAGTTAATAGATTATAAAATAAAATGTTAGATTTCACTACAAAGACTCTCATACTGACATCAACAACACGGAAATATAAACCCTTACGAATTCTTATTTATCTGTTACTTCTCACTTTTCATAAATCTCTTTAGCACATTAGAGAAATCTACTCAACATTTATTAATAATCTTTAAACTCTAAATACCTATTTTAACCTGAATTTTTTTATTATACTATTACGCACCGACAACTCCAAGTAGTGTTCAACTGACAGCATTTATTTACGTCTAGTAGTAAACATAAAAACTTTTGCGCATCTGCATTTTAATATTCTTAAATTTAGTGGTAAGCGGTTGGAGAGAGTCCTCAGGAAACCCTTGTGTTCGATGGTACTCCTCAAGAAGGCATTCCATCGATCAGACTAATGTTTTCTGTAGGGTCCAAACCCCCATCACAAAGCTTCACAGTCCGTGACGTTATCACTGAGTTAATAAATAAACGACCAGTCACTCACAAAGCTAACAAATGTACATTCAATGTTTATTGAGTGAGATTCAATATCTTCTTAGAATCATGTGGAATCCATCACAAAACTAGTCACAATGAATAAATTTTTATTTACTACAGTGATTTTGTTTGTCTTCATAAAACCAGTAAACCTAATTACTGAACACATAGAACACCATTTTTATTAAAATTTATCGTACTTGATTGTAAGATAAAAATTTTTAAAACTTACCCGTAAAGCACAAAATCGTCTATGTACAATAATCCAGCATAATAAGTACAAAAAACAAGGGAGTACAGCTGTGATAGCGGCACAATCAATTGGTGTTATAATTCTTAGACTGCGAATATAACAGTGTATAAATATTTGCCATAAACTTGATAAAAGACTACACCTAGCAATAATTTTCATAATTTTTGGTTGATCACTTGCTACAATGATAGCATGGTTCCTAATTTAATCAAGTTATAGGGAAAGAGTGAAAGAGTGAAAGAAAGCAATTATTCAACTGATAAAATTACTCAATTAAAGGTTACAGATAATGATCTTTACATGAAAGAATAAACTATCCGAAATTAGTAGGTGTTAAAAGAAGTGTTTAGTCTGGACAAAATGAAAACTTTTCAATGAAGAAAATGTTTTCTTCCGACGATTTCATTTATTAGAGTTGCACAGAAGTCATCTATAAAAACAAAAACTTATTGTCTTATTAATGAGGGTACTTAGAAGTCAATCAAATTTTAAAGTGACGTAATAGTCAAAGGATAATAAGAATAAAACAACATGTAGAAACGAGATGTAAAGATTTTCTCTCTTAACAGTCATACGGAAAATAAAAATATGAATCAAGATGTCTGAAAATAAGATTGAAAACAGAGATGTGAGAGACAACTTTCTACTTGGAGAATATGGGAAGATGAAAAACAGAACACGTGTCAACTGACAAATTATGGAATGGTGTTAGGACCATGGTCAAGTGGATAGATCTTCATATCTCATTTCTACGTGTTATTTCATCCATATTACCCTTTAATCATTACGTTACTTTAAATTTTGATTGACTTTTAGCACCTTTGTTAATGAGGCAATAACTTTTTGTTTTTACGAATTGATATGTGTAAACAGTACCGATTATACTATTGTGCAACTCTAATAAGCAAAATCATTGCAAAGAAACCTTTCCTCACTAAATTGTTGTCATTTTGCGTAATAGTATATTGTATTTCTGTTGGTGTTTTATTTTTGCAATGATACTGCTTAGTGACATCCATGTTTAATGAATTTTTAAACTAAAGCTCTAAACATTTAAATTGTATGTCAGAGTTTGTAATTTTCTGTTAATGATAGTAAGTAACTCAACAGGACGAAACGTACATCATGGATTTCATTATGGTCACAATTCAAAAATCTACTGACAATTGTGACTGAATGATGCGAGTGACTAAATCCACTGATGATGAATATATGTCAATAAAGCCTGATGAACTAAAGTCCTCAATACAAAAGATGACAAAAAATATACCAAGTAATTCATGCGATTACACACAACCGTCAGTGTTCATTTTTTAAGTTAGAATATAAACTGATTCTAGCCATCTGATTACTGAATATTACTAATAACTAGGTAGTTTATTCATACTGTTGGGAGACTCACTAACAGTAGGCACCTACTACACAGTGAAGGATTGAAACTGAGAATTTCAGGTTTCATGACGAGTAAGTAATTTTTAGATCAGTGAGTACTCAGCGTTTTGTACATCTAACTTTGATCAGTTCACTATGTCCTACAACTACCATTCACTGAAATAGATGATGTCATTTTCACGCTTGACATTGTCTTTTAGCTTTGTCCTGACAACATGTCAAGAAAAAAGTATGTCGGTTTAAAACGAGAACGAAAGAATCAGTAAAAATACGTTTACAACTCACATAATCATTTCAGTGACTGTCAATGCTTCCAAACGGAATAACAAATTGATGATGAGGTATATCGGGTAAATTAAAATTAACCAAAATGATATAGTATAAGAAGCCAATGACGGAGGATTTACAAGTTCCTGAATGACAATAATAATGATAATAATTATTATTATTATAATAATAATAAAATCTTTTATAATGAGACAGATGACTTCTGTGTAAGTATAAATTATTATACTTTGATAAAATAACTTAGAATTCAGTTAGTCATTCACTTCTTATCATCAGTAGTATGTCAAGTCTGAATAATATAGTGATAATTGGGTGATGTTAATTTGTGGTGAAATTTATGTTTGCCTGAAACATTATTGGATGAGAATCTTGCTATATAAAGAAAAATAATCTCAAGTTATGATCTAAACCAAAATATTCCCCATTTTCGACTAGGTTACTTGAACAACAAAAACCATTTACTTGTTAGATCTTTAGCAGGTTCATGATTGCCCACTTTTTATAAGCTGGAAACCGAAACTAAAAACCAGATCCCAGTTTCCAAAATGCAACCCAGCTATTGAATACTGTGATGGCAATCTCTAGTGGAAACATATTTATTGGTTATGCATTACTTCATATTTGCCCTGTTGTAAAGATTTGCATTTTCATCTATTGTTTTTTAAATGTATCGCAAATCCATAATTCGTATTGAGAGAAAAGTGAAAAATGTAGGACTATATTATGAAGATTATCAGACCCAAAATGATTACGTCAATATGATAATTCTTCAATGCAATATATTTTGTATTATGCTTTGTTTCATGTTATTTAAAGCTACATGGATCTCGCCGGACCACACCACAGTGAACCGGATAAATCATATTTGTATCAACCAAAAATTTAGAAGTACAATGGAAGATGTGAGAACCAGGAGAGGAGCTGACATAGCTTCAGATCACCACTGAATGGTTGTGGCCAAGATGAGACTGAATTTAAAGAAATACTGAACAAATGAGGGAACAGCATTACAAAGGTTCAATACAGCCTTCCTTTGAGATACTGACAAGCTCAAACAATTCAAGATAACTCTCATCAACACGTTACAAGCTTTACAGGATCTACTGAAAGAACAAGAAGCTATGATGGATAACAACTGGAAAGGGGTCAAGGAAGCACTAACATCAACGTGTCAGAGGTTCTGGGTCCTAAGAAGCATCATCATAAGAAATGGATCTCCATGGAAACCCTGGACAAGATTCAAGTAAGGAAGAACAAGAAGACAGCAATTAACAACAGTCGAACTAGAGCAGAGAAAGTCAAGGCACAAGCAGACTACGCAAAAGCAAACGAGGAAGTGAAGAAAAGCATTAAAGCAGACAAGCAGAAATACATCGGAGAACTAGTAATGACGGCGGAAAACGCTGGAAGAGAAGGGAATATGAAACAACTATATGTACGAAGAAACCGGCAGGGATATATAGTGAACCGGAGAGACCAGATTCAAGAACAAAGGAAAAGATGGGCAGAATACTTCGAGGAACTGCTGAATAAGCCAGTTCCATTGAATCCACCGGACATCGAAGCAGCACACATTGACCTTCCTATAGATGTCACTCCACCAACGATCGAATAAGTCAAGATGGCCATCAGACAAATCAAGAGTGGGAGAGCGACAGGACTTGACAATATACCAGCTGAAGCACTGAAGTCAGACATCGAAGTAACTGCAAACATGCTTCACCTTCTATTCAAGAAGATTTGGGAAGAGGAACAAGTGCCAATGAACTGGAAAGAAGGACATCTCATCAAGATACCAAAGAAAGGAGATCTGAGCCAATGTGAGAACTACAGAGGCATCAGTTTGTTATCAGTACCAGGAAAAGTTTTCAACAGAGTGTTGCTGAACCGGATGAAAGACGCAGTAGACGCCCAACTTCGAGATCAACAGACTGGATTCCGTAAGGATCGGTCGTGCACTACGGGTCATCGTTGAACATTCAGTTGAGTTGAACTCGTTACTTCACATCAAATTCATTAACTATGTTGAGGTGTTTGACAGTGTGAATAGGAGAACATCATGGAAACTTCTTCGACATTATGGATTGAGTAGATGAGAAGATTGTCAACATTATTCAGAACTCATACGACCGACTAAAATGCAGGAAATTTATTATTTTTATTTATAAGCTTATCGCATAAATAGTTCTGGGTAAGAAAAGGTCAATATAATGAGTCACTTAGTATTGTGTCCAAACACTGATTTTTAATCATCAATAAATGTAAATCATATTCGATGGGCAGATAAAAATCCTTATGTATATTGACAGCTGACTGAAAATAGCTTCCATTTAATTGGAAAACCATGCTAAATATAATAATGTGCTTATAAAGTATTTTTGTAGTTATTTTGTAGAGGTTCATTCATATTTCTGACGACATCATTAGAAACCTGAGAGTACTAAACAGCCATTTCATTCTGTAAATGAACTCTTTAATCAAAGATATTAATGGGATTCAAAACCATCAGGTCCCACAGCGACGACTTAATTATTAAGCTGCATTGTTGATATGCAGTGACCCGAATTTCCTTCTTCATTCTACATGTATTACACCCTGACGATCACCCAATATCGTTGGTGATAACTGAATCATCCTCAATATGGTTGAACCTTTTCTTCGATGTCTTACGATTAAAACATTAAATATTCATCGCTAAGGTAGTTACCAATGAACGACTAATTATGGTTTAGTTAGGGTGTTTGTGTAGAATAGATTAATTCGCAGGTGGTATCTATGCTCTTATTAGATAATGATAGTCTGACGATTTGCACATTTCGAGACCAAAATGTGGACCATCAATTCCAATGCTACTGGTTTAAGGGTTACGCACTTACCGTGAGGCCTGGGTTTGACCACTGGTGTTGTCGTTGATCCTCGCTGTTAAACACTCGGGTTAAACACCTGTTTTCTGGGATACTTCGATTAGTGTAGTTTTATAATGAATACGCTTTCGATATTATAATCTATTCTACACTGTTGAATACTACTCATTAAATAATGAACTGTTATCATTAACATTTCTCCCCTTTTATTTTTTTTTAGTTAGATTAGAGAGTAATTTTTACTTAGGTAGTAATCAAAGGATTTCGTTTCGATTTGACAGACGTAGTCCATCTTAACGATGGTGACTAATGTTTCTTATAACTGAATACCAGTTATTAAAGTGTTTCGTTTAGCTCAATAACATCATTTCAGCAATTGCCATGGTTAAAAATTGCTTATAAAAGATAAGCTGTATAAATAGAGTACAGTGTAAAATCGGCATAGTATTTATCATTCAGTCTGAATACGTGTGACAGCTCACGTACACTTGAGTTTGTTCATATATAATTTGAAAAACCCTTTTCGTAAAACAACAACTTATCTATACTATTCTACCTTTATTACCGTTGCTCTTGTATGAACAGGTATGTATGCTTGAGCATTGCATACCACCTACGGACACAATCATTCTGATAGCTTTAATGTTGGTCGCCTAATAGATTTGATGATTCATTCATTTCCCCATGTACATATTAATCCTATTGATCTGACTCGTACGCTCACTCGTTCAGCACTAGCCTTACATTCCTACTTCGCTAGTCTGTGGTTTTGGTGACCTGTGCGTTGTGCAATAATAAACGCGATCAACAGTTCGCATTCGTCTTCTGATTTATACACCTTTGGAGGCGTTATCTAGAAACGGTGATCAGGACGAACATTATACGAGGTTTAAGGATTATATTGAATACCGACAACGACATACGTTAATAATAAAAGGGGTAAGTAGCAGCCTCAGTCGAACAGCCTTTGATACTAGTCAATCGATAAACAGAAACCAAATTCATGTCTAGTTTTTAAAGCTGATAGAATCCTACTAGTTACTTTCTAATCTCCTAGCTGGGTCAAGTGACTTGATACTATATTATATTTCATTTTACTTCATGTAAATTGGGAGAAATTTATCAGGGAGTACTGGGTTCAGAGTTGTTGCTAGTTGGCGCTCAGGAGAATTGGGATTCTTTGTTCACTAGGAATTCAGTGGTAACTCAGATGACTCAATGTAAATATCTTTGACTGAAACATTTCTGATACGGATTTAGATCTCATAGAGAACATTGTTTTTTTACGGTCATGAATTTGTTTTGCTAGCAGAATACTTTTGCTCACAGCTATTTGTAAATTGGTTCATATTACTTAATAATAGAAAGCGTACATAAAATCACCATATTCAGAACTACGTTTTACCTGAAAAGTTGAATTATCCCAGTAAGTGTAAACATAGATATTCGGTACGCATTCTATAAAACAAACAAATGATGTACTAATGAATGCTGTAGTAAGAAAATACCATAGAATTTGTCGACATAAATGTTTCAGTTGTTCGGTATGCTTTTTATGTGTTCCGATGATTTTCCAATCATGTTTTTTGTACAAATGTTTCACTGCCCATTGAAGTTTATTTTGGTTAATCTGTTGTGTATTGTCCTGCGTTTGATTTGCGAAAGGTAGTACGGGAACTTCTAATTTAATTGAGGATATACTAAGTTTATTAGTTGCATTCTGTTGACACAGTTGCTGTGTTGTGTCATCGTTTAATTCATTTAGCTGGTAGATTGATTGTGGTTGTTGCTGCAGTTTTCCTGTACTTGCATTAATTGCAATTTGATTATTGGGTGGACTAGATCTAGAATAAATAGAATCTAATTTTTCACTGAACTGACTGTCTTTATGACGATGATGTAATTTCCTTGTTTTTAATCGTATTGGAGGTAGTTTAAAACAGGAACAATCATGCTAAATGGAAATAATAATATGCAGAGATAGATTGGAAAAGAACATTGAAGTACGGAGGATAAGTTGTTTTCTTATAGTGGAGATACATTCAAATGTTTATTTATAAAAAAGGTTGTAGTGGATAGTCACTTGGAGCTTTAACTCAGTTTTATGGTACTCACATTCTAACCCTTAAATAGCAGATTAAAATAAGCAACAACTTACTTTAGTTTTGCCAACTAGTTGGTACCCCTGAAATTCACACAAACTGTATAGAGTAAAACCAAACAAATAATTATATTCTTGACAAACGCACCAAGTACACTCATCAATTTTATAATATTGCTGGTAACAAATGGAACATAAGTGGCAAAGATATGATTCATAGTACTTAACGTCAGTTACGTTTGATAAACCAACCCTGAAGATAGCTTACATTTTAGAACTGAGTATAAGCATTTTTGGTTATCAATGCAACCACTAAAAAGTAAGTAGGCCACATTGCAACTTGATCGATAGCAATCGATCAGCACTAAGAAGGACTTGACACGCATGACATTGATCACCACCCAGTGATCAGTCAATTGTAAGTAAGTAGAGACTTTCAAAACTCCTTAAAATTATGTCCAGTTTGTAATTATTAGAAAATAAGGTATGTCACAAGGGAATCTCTGATGACCGCTTGAGATACCATAACAAAATACTTGAATAAATTATTTTGAACAGATTTGTTTTACACTAAATAAGTGACTAAAACGTCATTTAAATGAATATTCGAATATTAGCAAAGAGAAGTTTTGCGTTTAGTAAACATCTATTGCCTTTTACTTACATAGGTTGATCATACATAAGTAACAATGAGATAGAAGAATGTAACCTATATTTTTTATTGTACATAAGGAAGAAATGATTGCGGAAAATTATTTTAAATAGATGTAATGGTGTAAGAGTTTTATTATTTGAATTAATATGAGCTTCATCATGGAACGTCGAACAACAATCGATAACATTTGATGACCTTTGTACACTAGTCAACAAGTGATCAGTAAACGGGCCTCATAGTAAAGGCCGCATTTAATAAGAGCAACTGATTTGAGTCAGGTATATGTCATCAACTTGACAACTGCAAGCCATTGAGTGGAGTAGATAAATTGTTTATCAGGAAATATTTCATTGGGCTCAAGCAACACTGCGCTTCAATTTAAATTTTCGAACAAGAAAGTACCTAACTTGCTTCATAGTGAAATTAAAATAGTCTTGATGACTTTAACTGTTTCTTAATGCTTTTAGATATTTAAACAGATTATAATTAAAGACGAAAATCAATAGTATCGCGCAGGTGAAATCATGATGTTTATGTCCACATAAGCCTAATAGATGATTATCAACGTAAAAGGTTTTGTTCAAAAATAACTCCAAGTACCTTTCAACATAGATATCTTCAACAATTTAAATTTTAAAGAGGATTCGATGAATTAGGATTTATTTAACTTATTTAAATAAACTGCAGTGCATAGCTTCCTCAAAAAAGCTATCGATCAACACTCACTCAAATTGATTTCGTAAAATAAAAGGTAAAATAGATAAATATGTATATTAGTCTTCAGATCATTATTCGATCAAACAATTTAAGTGAATGGTTGATTTACTGAAACTAAGTAGATATTAGTTTGTTGCAATTGTGTGTACATATTAATTCGTTGAAGTAAGAAATGGTTGCGCTTGAGTAGCGCAATTCTCAGACACCTCAGTTAATGAAGTTTGATAGCCTGATCAACTAGCTAATGATCTAATCTTAACCTCAGTATTACTCACTTAGCTATCTCATAATGCATAAATAAGGCTACGAAGAAATTCTTTAACATGAACTAATAACCTATCATAAACAAAGCAAGAACCTGGCACAAATTCATATCAGCTGGAGTTACCGAAACACATCACTGCAATAAGGGAGAATTTTCAAGATTGACATTAGTTCAGAAGTAATATCCATAGTGCCTACGGATGTCCTCTAGTTCCAAAGACCATGTTTCACAGTTATAATGTGAAACCGAACGTGTCACATCGAGAAAGGCCAATAAATTATGTTATCTGCCCTACTGGAAAACTATTTATTTCAGTTATACTACTCATCAACGGTTCGTGCTCATGACCCAACTGAAGATGTAGTCCAGATCCAACATAGCTCATGGAGAATAGGTTTTTTTAGATTTTCGAGCTATAGAATGCAATAGTTCACATTTTTGAATCTATTCATTTCTCAATTTTTTTAATGAAAAAAAAAGATAAATTATCGAGATTTAGGTCTATTTATCATCAGTCGCATCGCACGATCATGTATTTTAATTCAGTTTAGGATAGATCATTTTTCAATTATTTTATCTAGCAATAAATAATCACAGAAATTAAAGAAAAAGTCCTCATAAAGAAACCTACAGTCGGAGCTACCAAATCATCTAATTGTATTTGATCTATACAAGTATCACTTGTTAAAAATGGCCCATTTTCTAATTGAAGAGATAATGAGGAACGTGTAGGATTCAAATGGCTATCTGAAAGAAAAAAAAATAGACAAAAATATGTAGATTAGTATGTAGGCAAAACGACTTTTGACACTCAAAATATGCTGACAAACCAGCATTGAAGAAAACTATAAGAATAAATACATATTATGAAATATTCCCATTGGAAAATTAAATCGAACAAGTTTTTTTAATATTGCTTACCAGTATTATTTGCATCTTGCATGTATTTTAAACTCATATATTTACACATAATATATTATTTACATGGAAAAAATAGTATTGCCTGATGAGCATTTACGAAACCGAATAACTCATATTAGCTCAGTATGTACTTCTTCTTTATGTTGATAATCTACAAGGAAACTATATATAAAGTTACAGTTCCAACTTTCAACATTCTTAGCCAGATATCCGTCAGCAATATTATGGAGTATTTCTTTCAAAATATACAGAAACTATTTGCAATCTCGATGCTATGCAACCGATATGTTTTTTGTAGTAAATTGTATCTGTCTTTGAAACAAGAGTTATTTGACTGTCAAATTGTCATTCTGACCAGATGTATATTCAGTAAAATCGATTGGTTAAAATCAAGAAACCTGCCGACAACCTATGAGTACACACCGCTCCCTCAAAAAAATATTATTCGCTTATCACTGTTATAATGTTTTTATTTTACTCACAGTAAATCCACTTCTGTTGTTTCTGTATTCATTCACAACATCGGTAAGCCGTACCCATTCCTACGTTCATAAGCCTCCAGTCGTAAAAGTAGAAGTGTTAATAAATAGTCACAAATACTATTTTATGTTGAGACTCAACTTATGTGATTATGTAAGTGAAATAAAAAATCGTAGTAATAATGAGTTTGTAGATATCAACGCCAAGACTGAACATGATAGTTTCAAGTAAATTAACTATTTGGTAGGAAGTTACTCGTAATGTTCTTCTTTTGGGATATCACACAAAGTATATTTGTTATTAAAATTGTAATATGTTTTGACATTTGTTAAGCTATTCAAATGTATAAAAATGAAATAGTCTAAATTTCAGAGTGGAGTGAATTCCACTTGTATATATTTTATAATAGCCTTGAAAAATGACCATAAAACAACTGTTCATTAAGTAAGGCTTGAATTAACACATATTAATCCCTAATTTTTTCATTTGTGAATCTTTCAACAATTACGTACTTAATTTTTGACGATTTATTATTATTCCCGATTGTTGATGCTCACAGCTAGGAGTATTCTATAAATTTGGTATGTAGATAGAAGCGGACTTCAAGATTCCCATTTTATCCCATTCGAAACCCATCATCTTGGTCAACCTGCATCTCAGTGTTCATGCCAACACTGAGACTCGAACCTAGTAACTTTGGCTTCCTTTGACATGTCCTAAATATGTTGAAACTCTCATTTCGGATTCCACCGTTAGCCACATACCCATCACTATTATATTGTTCAAAGCGCTTAAATTTCTCATTGATGAAGTTAGAATCTTTCAAATGAACGAATACGTCACCAATGAATGCTGTGCAAATTTTCTCACTTTATATTAAATTTCCCTTGGGAAGAATTCTGTTGACAGTAAATTATTTAATGATAAAACAAATAATCGTCGATTTGTGGTGATTTCTATTGTACTAACTAAGTCAGTTTTTATGTAAGAAAATAATCAAATTAATTTATTTTAAAAATCCCTCTGAGGAGGGAAGAGGTTAAACCTGGAAGTAGTAAATTATATTTGTTATTTTTCTTCTCATAACAGCCTAACCTTTACTGTTTACTGTTAGTTTTGTATATAAATATTCACCTGAGATATCTGTTATCTATTTAAAAATTTAAGTACTGAAAAATTACTCAATATATTTGTGGTGAAATGATTAATGTCATTCAATTATTTTTTTTATTAGCAATTGATTTGATAATAATTTATGTGAAATACTTATACTACTTATTATAAATGCCTGTCAAACAACACAATTCATGGTTAAATAAACATAGGTAACATACGTAACATTAAAGTTCTGATAAGTAGGCAGTAGTCAAAGTTTATTATTATCATTGATTATTACATGAAATTCAAAACTGAGTATAAAAGAATCAATTTGCATTTGCATTTCATGTCTGCATTACATTAGATGATCAGTTAAACGAATCTGAAAATACAGTGATTTAGACCAGTGGTGAAGTCGTGAAAAAGCACCGCTTATTGGTTCTATGCTAAGAAGAGGCAGCCTTGAGGATTTCTTGGTTTTAAAAATCAGTTCTTGGTGAGAAACTTTAAATTTAACAACCTTCACAACATCCTGTCATGGTAAACACCAAGTGATCTATTCAAAACTTTAAAAAGATTTTATTTAGTGCTAGGTTTATTTAAAAGCGAACATGACAACACACATCTGATCAACTACAGGAATTCAGTGTTCGTAATGAAACGCTGCTTTTAGATCAATGATTTAGAATCTCATACCATATGTAATAACGTCCTCCCTAATATGAGTGAACTGAATCAATTACAATTGGGCAATAAATTTTCGAGACCGCTAAATAACAAATGTTTGCCATCCTCAACGACAGCCTGCTCAAACATTTGGGTCACCTATTTTCCGACTGTACAAATACTGCGATTCAGATACCCTTTTTAGATTTGTTTTAGACTGAATAGTTATGGATGTTTATTGTATGAACTAGAGTGCCAGGTTATAATGCTAAATACTGGAAAACTTAAACAGAAACACTGTTAGGAATATTTTTGAAATATGTTTTGAATAGTCACAGTTCAATAGTATTTTAGAAAGACATTTGTAGCAACATTACATATTTTGTGCTGAGAATTCTTCACTGTATGAACATTTATGGTATTAAATAAACCTATTATGATTATTTTAACTTGCATACTTTATGCTGACTAGTCCATCCTGGTAAACTGAAGCTTTAGTAGTGAACTGAAACCATTGTACACTATGAAGTATCAAGTGGCTGCTTAGTTCAAATATGTAATTTTCACTTGTGAGCATGTAAGATGTCTTATGAAATTATAGTAGAAGATTACAGATTATTAGACTTGTATAATATTTGTAATAAAACCATTCAAATCGAAAACATAATCTAAGCAGTTTAAACTGTTTATAGATAACGGACTTTTCTCAGCAGAATTGTCAATAGTTATTTTAGTTGACATCAACTGACGATAAAAATCTATTCCAAATAATACAAGATTTCTAAAACTTCATAATTCATTTTTCCTATTATTGACTGAAATGAATGATTAACTATTCAATTCATAATCTTATAAAAAGAAAATAATTTGATTAAATAATTAAATAAATAGAACATTTAAATTATATTCACTTGGAATTGTTTGTTTGAATTTTCCCCATTGATGTTCAGAACTGCAAGTGATCAGTCGCTTATTAGCATATGTGCATACTGTGCGTAATGCCTCGATATTGCGATAATTCACAAGCATTATAAGCAAAGATGGATAGTGGCTAGTAGTGGAATCCAGGACGCACGTTTCCTCCTATTTGCGACTCGTCAGCTGGACATACTTGCATGACAGACTTGTTGATGTTCACACTGGGACTCGAACCCAGTATCGTTCGCTTCAAACGCTATTGCATTATCCACTGAGCTCATGAGTCCTGATAGCCACTTCCTTATGCAATGGGGTGAAGTTTAATTTCACTTGGTATTGTTTGCTTGAATCTTCCCATTGATGTTTAGGACTGTAAATAGGACGAAACGCGTGTCCTGAATTCCACTGCTATCCATTATCCACCTTTGCATTTAAATTACATTTTTATTATTTTAATTACCTATTGCTAAAATTTCTTAATATTCACTTTTTTATATTTGCCTTTCTAACTTCATGTTAAGATTTAAAATGGAGATTAAAAGGAAATTTACTTGAATAAACGAACTAGTAATTTTGATGTCAATTTGGGAGTGAACTTGTACAATTTCGGTGTACAAGACAAACAAAAGATAGAAGCAACAGTAACACCAAAAACGTGACAGATAAAATGAAGTTTGGCAAGCTGACCAAGTGATCTTTTTTTACTCAATCAATCTGAATGTGTACGAAATCTCATATTCTATTTTTTTAGTGTTGGTAGACTTCTGAACTGCTGAATTTCGATCAACCAAAAATTAATCTTTATACTACACGTATTATATTAAATTTAAAGTTAAGAAAATAGACAAATAGGAATTGCTTAAAAACAATGCCTAATCTTCAGTACTATTTTATGTTATCCAAAACCATGTTTATATAAATTTCACTTATTTACTTCTTATCCATTTCTATGATAAAGAAGTTTTTGTAGAAATTTTTTGAAAATTAGAAACGGGATTTTCGAACTATGGACTCCAGTCAACTATAAAATTAGAAGGAATATTTTACTCAGCAGGTAAGTGGATAACGCGATGGTGTTTGAAGCGAACGATACTGGGTTCGAGTCCCAGTGTGAACATCAACAAGTCTGTCATGCAAGTACGTCCAGCTGACGAGTCGCAAATAGGAGGAAACGTGCGTCCTGGATTCCACTACTAGCCACTATCCATCTTTGCTTATAATGCTTGTGAATTATCGCAATATCGAGGCATTACGCACAGTATGCACATATGCCAATAAGCGACTGATCACTTGCAGTTCTGAACATCAATGGGGAAGATTCAAGTAAACAATACTAACTGAATTTATATTTGACAATTGTTTCATTATGGCATTGAAAATTCTTTCATGGATGTGGGGATTTTCGATACATCTCTCACCGATATTAAGCTTCGATGGACACTACTTTATAAAAATTCATCTGAATATTTACCGAAATCACTTTAGTTATGCCAACTATTAGCTGGTATTTTAGACTGAGTGTTTAGGAATCTTAGAGAGAATCTGTGAACAGTTGATTTTTAAGGGTTTGGTAGTCAGTAGTAAGTTGTAGAATTATGAGCTTGACCTTCGTCTTTTACGAAACACATCAGCTTGACGAACATATATTATATTTTTAATGTTTA